CGCGTGATAGCGACATAAATAGAGCGTTACTTTCGCAATTTGAAACGGTAGCCTTCATAATTAGAATAATATTGCCGCACGCGAGACTCGTAATTTCCGTAACGCGGCGCAGTCGAGCGGCGGCGTAGTCGGTAAATGACATAATTATCGCTGAATGAGCGCGCATATCGTGCCGGCTTCCGCCAACGTGCGGAGCAAAATTACTTCGTAACACCTAGTTTTCCGCTCGGAAGTTCCCTCCGCATCCGGCTGGCGTAGCGAGCGACGAACAAAATAATCCGAGCACGGAGCACAGCTCTGTTCACGGCATATCGCCTCAGCTTCGTCGACAAGGGCATCTAGGAAACCATTAGAAGGGCCGTCGTGATGGGACGACGCTGATGCTTCGCGCGGAAAAGTCAACGAACCGTTCGAAGGCTCCTCGACATCTGGATGAAATTAACTCGACCGGTTCTTCCGCAGACAGACTGTCTGCCGCAGCTTCTCGCCTCCTGCGATATTTTTCTGAAACGAGGAGTCTCCCGGTTTTACTGACGGATCGACGAATCGGGGATTAAGCGACCCATTACATCTGGAAATCTACTGTGTTCTCCGATTACGAGCAAACGATTTCGAAAGTTTAAAGTCTAAACGATTAGGCGAGGATGTGTTCCGGGGTGAAAGACGCGTGAATCGAAACACGTCGAGCGAAGGGAGGAGGAATTGGATAAATTACATGGTGGAAAAAATATCTTATTTGGTTCTCTGATCAAAGACAATCGGCGTCGTGTGGCAGGGTGTGCTGGCAACAGCGGACAATAGCTGGCGCGACGAATAAAAAGCGCAAGGTACGCGCGGAACCGGTGAAAAGCATTGAATTCATCGCTGCGGATTTATAGGTAATTATTTTTCTCGAACGTGTCCGCGCGCTCGCCGTCCTATAGGGTGGCAGAGGCGGAGGTGGAGGCGGTGGTGGAGACGACCGAGGTTGCGAACGGGAGTTGCGGACGTGTTTCGTCAAGCGAATATCTCCGGCGAACGAGAGCCACCGCTGGGCGTGGAAACTAAAGCCTGATCATGTCGCGGATGTACATTTTCTACGGGATAGTATTCAGAGAACGACGTAGCCCGAGAGATGTGGGGTGTGGAGAACGAGCTGGTGCAGCCAAGAGGAGTGTGGGGATGTATAACGCGACAATTGCCGGATACGACGATTTGCGCGAATCGCGCGCACAACGACTTAGCTAGCCCGTGTATACACGTATACGTGTATGTATACCCTACCCTCACTGGCGAGGCCGAGTGAAACAGTAGATTCGGAAGGATGAGACTCGGCAAGACACGCTGGCAAGAATAGGATAGACAGAAGGGAAATGGAAAGAGAAAGAGAATGGAGAAAGAGGGATGGTGAACGACGGTGAGGGCGAGGGGTTGTATAGATACATCCCTGCGGCGGTGGTTTGTAATATTATGATAACCCTCCCTGGTTGCCTGGCTGCCTCACCCCTACCTCGTTTCCCTCCTACCCGACCCAGGCTGCGCGGCCACCCTCTTTCAGCGGCCATGTTGCCGGGAAATATGATTATTGTTATTATTTGCACCCTCCTTCGACCGCATCCTCCTGACTCTTCACCTCCTCGTGGCAATCCTCTCATCCTATCGCTGTTCTCTCTCTCTCTCTCTCTCTCTCTCTCTCTCTCTCTCTGTCTTTCTTTCGCCAATTCGTGCCACCGTCGTCTGCTGCTATGATTCTCGCAATTCTCTCTTTGCTACTCTCTCTCTCTCTCTCTCTCTCTCCCTCCCCCGTCTTTCTGATCTACCCTCTGATTCCGTTCTCTTCTCTCGTTCACGTTCTCGTTACTCATCCCCTTCGATCAAACTCGATTCTCTCTCCTGCTGACTCTCGTCTCCAAATCCTACGAAGCGACGACTCTTCTTCGCTAGGCGAATTGAGAGGAAACGAACGGGAACAAGTCCGAAGCAACTAACCGTCAACTACGGTGGTTCTGTCTTTATCTTGTCGCATCCCGATCGGGTCTTTCTCGTTTACTTCGCCGTCTCTTCGTTCTTCCGTACTCTCGTCTCTGTTCCGCGGTAGCTTGCAAAACTTTACGATGCGAAATGCCATCTCCGCGTCGTACTTCTCAACCTCCCCCACCCCCTCCTCATCCATCCCTTTTCTCTCGCTCCAGCTCGTTTTCTAGTCTTCTTTTTTTTTTTCCTTCCCAAGCATTTTACTCTTCTTTCTCCACTTTGTTTTATTTTTTTCCACGTTTCCTTCTCTCTCCGTTGTCCAGCTCGGCCGCTCTTTTTCTTTCTCTCGACGCGCAGTTCATCCGCAACTCGTCCCTGCGGAAACGTTTCATCGACCGAGACCATCGTTCTCCTTCCCCTCGTCCTTGTTTTTTTCGCAGCTCTCCTCCGGGCTTTTTTTCACCACCTCCGAAACTTTCCTCGCGTGACTAATATTGAGAAGTATCTCCGCCGGTACGGGAACAGGGCCGCTATCTCGAATCAGCTTGATAAACGGAAACTTTCGTCTCCTACTTAAAAAAGGAAAAAAAGAAGAAAGGACACTTTAAAAGTAATATTCCCCTGTCCTAACGTTTGAACTTGCTTTTTTCCAATCTTCTTCGAGTAAATGTAAAAGAAGAAGAAGGAAAAAAAAAAAAGAATAAACGGAGAAGATACTTGTTCTCCAGGAAATCTAGACTCCGAGTTTAAATATCCCTGGCACGTCTCCCAAAGTGGACGACGCCGAGAATCGCGTCGACGTGCAGACCATTTCCCGTAAATTCGACTAATCGTGTTATTCGACTTCATCTTGGTATACGTGTCCAACGTCGACAGTAAGCAGCGTTAAGTGTAACGAGAACCGTGGCGTGACGTAAGAAAGGAAGAAATAAACGAACAACCAACGAGGTGGAAGGGAAAATGGGTGGGTGGAGGCGCGAATGACGAAGGAACGAACGGACTGGAGGGCAGAGGGAGGAGAAGTGGAGGAAGAGAAAGAAAGGAAAAAGGAACGAGGCAAGGAGGTGGTGGTCTCGGTCTCGTAGTAGTCGCGAGAGTCGTGGTAATAAATGGGCAACACGAGCGCTTATAAGGGGTAGGTAATCTAAAGCTTTCGAGGCGGCGGGGACCGCCGAGAGAAAGCGAGCAGGAAGATGGAAGTTGAGGAGGGAGGAAGAGAGGGTGAAACGGTGTGCAGGATGAGAGAAGAACCGGCTGGAGGAGGAGACCACGGAGGAAGGGGGATAAGGGTGGTTACGGTGAGGGTGTGAGATAAGGTATAAGGTGGGTAAGATGGCGGACAATTTGCCGCTCGACTACTCTTGCCCGCACCCCTCCCTCGACGATTCCACTCCTCCCCCTCTGGCTCATGTACCGGGTAATAGATGTTCCTCCTTCGTAACCAACAGAGAAACGTTGAACGCGCGCGCAAGCATCCTTCCCTTCCTTCACCCCTTGCCTCTTTCTCTCGTCCTCTCTTTTACTCTCTCTGTCTTCGTCTCTGTCTCTGTCCCTCTCTCTCTCTCTCGTTCCTCTCAAGCTACGTTTCCTCTTTCCGTATGCGGAAAGACCCTTCTCGCAGCTTTTCCATCCCTTTCGTATTCAACGCGTGCTAGGTGGAAGCGCGCATGGACGTATATACGTGACGATGAGAGGAGAATCACGCGTGCACGCGAACAGAGACACGTACACGCCGGGAAGTTGCGGCCGCGTTCGCATATACACGGGGAACTGGCTCCGCGGCATTCACGTTGGTGGTACGTAGGTATTTTAAACGCTCTCCACACCGTCACCTGCCGCCGCCACTGCTCGCTCCACCCTTTGCGCTTGCAGCCCCACTCCACCCCTCGGCCCACCGCCGACAGCCTACCCGCCAGACCGCACCAGCATGCTCTCTCTTAGCATTCCATCCGCCATCTTCTCACTTAATAAAATAATTACCCCAGGCCAATTAAGCGTTCCCTCCCCTCTCGTCCCTTCGTCCCTAACGCCTCTTACCCGACTACTATCTTTGTCGCACCTACCCGCACTTCTGTACCTCGTCGCGCGTATACTCGCGTATACTCGCGCGTTCTTGCTCCTTTGAACAACGCGACCTTCTTCCAAGTCGCAGGCTATTTCCTACGGTCGTTAGACGACCGTTTACTCGTGATTATTATTTCAAAAAGCCCGCCAAACGGGGTACGATTAAACGACGGAGGAATTATTCAGACGCGATTACACGTGCCCCCGCGCACCGAGTTTCTGATTCGATTCACGTTCCAGTTCAGGTAGAAACGACATCAACTCGCGCGAAAATGTCGCTGCGATTTTTTTCGAGAGGGGGAGGGTTAAAAAGGCTACGACCGGTTGTTCCCCCGAGTACACGGAGCAGGGGGACCGCGAGGGCGCGCTCGCGTTGTTCCCGCGTTTTATACGCGAATCGTTATTTAACGGCTCGCCACTCGCATTTTTTCACCGTGTACAGAAGAGATTTAACGTGCATCGGCGATAATGCATTTTATATTTATGCACCGGTGAAAATTTAGCATGAAACGACGATGCATTGCTCGTCAGCACGGAAAATCATTTATTGATTTCCAATAACGGTGTTTTATCTTTCGTATAAATATAATGGCCCCCGGCAACGTACCTGATGAATCCGGCACGCCCTATTTTTCATGCTCTGCCAGCGTTTGTTTTCAGTTTTCTCTGTTTCACGATCGTTGACTAATTGCATTAGGATTCACGTAAGAAGCACTCGTAATTTTCGATGCCCGGTTTTCTCAGTTCGTATGTTAATCACTAATCGTACGATTCAACTATGTATCTGTTACATCTTGCTTGATACTTTCGTAATATTACTTCTAATTACGATGTCGTACATTCATTAATTCAAACGCGAAAATTTTTGAACTGACACGAAACGGAATATTAACGCGAGTCAACTAACGGTTACGAATCTGCTAGAAACATTTCTGGTGACATCTGGTGACAACCGCTGCAGTGAAACATGCTTCTAAGCTACGAGGTGATGGCACTGTAGTCGCCATGAGTCAAAATGTCTGCGATGTCGTTGATAGGTCGTGCTTTCGCGAGACAAATTGTTGAAGTTTGTTCGAAAGCCGCGTCGGTGTCGGTTCAACTACAGCCAAAAAGAAGCCAATGGAATCTTGTGAAAAAGCCGAAACCTGGAGAGAAAGGGAAAAGTTACCGGAGGATTGTTCATTTCCAAGACAAGTACACGATTGAGCCTTTAAACGTTACGAATTTAGCAGGCAGAGATCCCGTCACGGGTGCGTATTTTACTCAAATTTCATTAATTTATCTTTAATGTTATTCCATTTTGAGCAGATACTTTAGTAATTTGATGAAAAGTTTTTGTATACTGACGGAATACGATAGAACCATCAGTCGATAAAGAATTTCCTAGAACAGCGGGAAATTCAATTAGCGTGTAATAAAACAAATGTTAAATTCTTTCTTGTTAATGTTATTTATGATTAAAACAGGAAGAGTGGTGGCAAAAGGTATCGGCGGAGGGATCAAACACAAATACCATTGGATTCAGTGGATTAGAGATGGGCCTACCGATCTCAACGTACCTCCGAAAGAAGACAAAGTGCTAGCAGTATTCAAAGATGGCTGTAGAACTTCATTCGTAGCTTTGGTTGGAGGCGGCAATGAATTGCGATATATTCTTGCCACAGAAAATATGAAAGTTGGAGACATAATCCGAACACATCGGGGCATTCCTGTAAATCACGTTAGAGCCTCTGAGGGAGATGCTTATCCATTGGGAGCATTGCCCAAAGGAACGATTGTGAATTGCGTAGAGAAATATCCAGGTAAAGGAGGTGCTCTTATTCATGCTGCTGGGACGTGTGGCCTGATAACGAAGAGCGATGGGGATCGCGTGATTGTTAAAATGCCTAGCAAAAAAGAGTTCAGTTTGCACCAAACCTGCATGGCGACTGTGGGTAGATTGTCAAATGTCTTGCATGGTTCAACGCCAATCGGTAGTGCACAGAAGAACAGAGAGCTTGGAAATCGACCAAGAAGCGGTCTCTGGCAGAGGAAAAGTGGTAAACATGGCCGGAAATTAAGGGCTCCACCGCCTGTGCGAAAGATTGGCAGTAGTGAAGAGAACACACCAAAAAAAGAAATACTATTGCTTAATCATCGGCCATTGAATACTGTTGAAACGTAAATGTTATTCAATAAATATTACTTTATTGTACCATTTTATTGTCTCCGTTGCCTGTCCTTGACAGCTTTCAATAATCACGACAAGTGGTCGTAATATTAGCAAATAGAGTTTGGGAATATGCTTGCATCTGTTTTTTCATTCTAATAGAATCGTTTCTGAATCGTCGACGATTTTATGTGTAGAAATATCACGACTTTTGAACTTGCACAAATTCGCGATACATTATTTCACAATTGTACATAGTTTCCTCGACTGCGTTTCAGTAACTTGTTCAAAGTCCTTTGTTGTAGTACACCGTTCGAAGATTGGGATTTTTGGAGAGCACCTGTTCCCGGACATCTGGTTCCAAATCATCCACCGAAATTGGTACCCGTTGTACGAACAAAGCACAACAGAGAGGAGTAGCAAATGTCAGACACACTCCGCAAATTAGTACTTGTATAGGCACAACAGCCCATCTCGCGTTACGCAGTAGTTGTCGTCGATCCATGAAGTTCATTACAACGGGCGCCAATACTAAAACAGATGAAATTTTTTAATTTTTTATAATCGAGTGATAAACTTTGACATCGGACGACATAATGAAAATAATCGCGATACTTACTCATGCTCGGCGCAGACATGAGAATACGAGACAGAGTAACCGCAAGGATGGCCTTCCTCGCGGCGTATCTACTATTGCCGACCTTTGTCCCATCTTCCGTTTGTAATTCGATTCCGTTTTGTAGCTCGGACATTCTCATGAAGGGAATGTTTACGCAGTTGGCAGCGGCAACTGCTGCGAACGGCACTAATCGACCTACCAAGGGTGGTGCATTCCGGAAGAGACGATTCAAGCCGAGGGCTGTCACCACAGCCCCTCCAGTCGCAATAGCGTAGCTCAGTAAAATCGTGTTTTTTGGAATTGGGCTGGAACCACTGCGGTTTGTGTAATTGACGATAGCGTTGAAAGACTGATTTACCCATTGCCAGGTAACGACGTGTGCAGTTGTTCTGAAAAATTATAAACGAAACTGTTCACCTTGATATTTATATGCTTTCTTATTTTGGTTCTTCGCGTTTGCTTTCACGTGATCGCGTGAAAACGTGAACGTGATTCGCTGTCATTAGGCATACAACACGAACGAAATCGGGAATTACACAGGGTGAAAGGTCTGATCGTTGCGGCATTTATCAACGCGTTCAATGTCGCCATACGATAAACTCATTCCCGTTTTCTCGGTCAAATTTAGATTGTCACAGGGATTAACGTCAATAGCCAAGTACGTACTTGTAGAACGTTAACATACAACCGGTGATCATCATGTTCATCGGAACTTGGGCGCTCATACGTCCGATTAGTAACATTTTCTCTTCCGTGTCTGGATGGTACGCGCTGTCGTACCGATATTTGCATTTCCACAACTCGTCCTCCGTCACCTTCAGTTGTGCCAGACTGTCTCCTTTCCTACGTCATAAATATCATGCACGAACCATTAAGCTAATAGCTAATGCTAAAAGCACGTAAACAGCTATTATTAACATACATTTTGATGCAGGATAATCACGTACGATGTCACGTGTATTGTCAACATCATACATATTAACTACCTGTACTTGGTGACGATGTCTCGAGCATGTTCGAGTTCCTTGGCGCTGAGGAACAGATTCAAAGGGTTCGTGACCGTGAGGAAGTGCAGCGCCCTACCCTTATACGTGCTCTGATCCCAGTACGGCTTCTCGATGTCGATTCTCCGTTCGTCAGTAAATGCATTGACGTTCTTATTCCGCGACATTTTGCCAATCCTTTCTGCTACTTCAACTCGTTCCTTTTGCTAAGCGGCTCTCACCGACTTGTTTCCTACTCTGCCACAGTCACACACCCCACCACGCCGTCGTACCGGTTTTCCTGAGCAACTCTTGTCTTGGGTATTTTCTATTTGCTCCTGATGGAGGAGGACGATTTCTCTCGGAGTGGTGACGCTCAGGCGCCAACGATAGCACGTCTCGCGCCGGCCACTGAACGGTTCCACCGTTTGAAACGATATCGTCTCATCGCACTTGTCTCTTCTCCGCTTCTCACCCCTTCGACGTCATTATCGATAACGTGCACGCGTGCGCAACCACAGCCCACGATTTTCCGCTTATTCCTTTCGCCAAGAGATGGTAGGACATTTTCTTTCGACTTCAAATTTGAAATGAATCGAATGAGAAAGATTAGAAATGTTGGTGAAACGGATGCTTCAGTCGGTCTGGAATGCATGGGAGTCAATATTATGGGATTTTAATATTTAGCATGAAAGGACTTGGTAAGTCTTGAAGAGTAGTGTTATCGAACGGTAGTGACAGCTTCCAACCCTTAGGTCTTGCTTGTTCAACCCTCCAATAGATGGTGTTTGCTCATTTTCCATTTTCGTAAAAGTTTTCCATTTTCAAGTTCCGAGAGACGATTGCGGAAAGGTTAAAGTTTATTGTTTGTAATTATTTCGCTTCGTTTACATATCATTTCCCATTATCTAAATGCTGTATTATCTAACAAGTATAACCACGTGTTACTTTTCAATATTTATAAACTGCGATTGACTGCGATAACAAAAACTTGAATATTTATCATAGCAAATCATCATCGAATAAATTATGCTGTTTATCCAATTGAATAAGAAATGACTGTTAAAGCGATACGGCATATCTAACATTTCTTTCAATGCTTGATTTTCAAGTTTTATTCATTTGTGAAATAAAATACTGTCTGCTCTTTCTGTACAACTGATTATTGACAGTGTATGTCGTTTGAGAGCTAGATCTCGCTATTATTTGTGTTAAATAATAAAGCTATTCTCAGTTACGAAAATCGGGCATATTATGACAGAGAACTTTCTAAATCCAATTCCAGGTCTATCCAGTTCGAAGCGATAGCAGTGCGAATGAAAATTCGTCGTTTCCTTCATTTTTTTGTGCATAAATGATAATTTATGCACAAAACGCTCACGATTTATTTCTCTAATTACGTGATTCATGACATGATTTATCAACGATTGATAGAAGAAATCTGTGCTACATTTCATGTCGCTAATAAACAGTATGACGCTGCGTTTTTCAAAGTTTTTGCATCCGCAAAAACAAACATAAAAAAGGCGCTAATAGAGTAAGCGCTCGTGATTAATAAATTAGCGCTTGTTTCCAGGAATGTCTTATTTAATTTTGATATTGCGGTGTCAAAGATGCGATTTACCGGTTTAGTCGCTTTATTTTACTTCACATTTGAAAAGGAGGTCATTGAATCATCCCAATTACGTTTTACATATTCACAGCATCGTTTTCGACTGTTTTTTTCCTTCTCTTTATTTCAATCATCTTCAAACGTATCGGTACCGGTTCGTTTTCTTGCTTGAACATGGTGAGCTTGTCGTTCGTATCCGTGGCCTACTTATTCGTCGCTATTCGCACATGCAACTGAAACCGAAAACGAAAGGCATGACGGACTAGGCGCACGCGGAAACTTCGTGTCACTACGCGCGATTATGCATTCGTCTTTACACATCGTATAACACATTGCTAATTCTGACAGTGGAATTCGGTATCGACGAAGTTTGTGCCGTTTAGATGTTTTTTCATCTAATTGTTTGATTCCGAATCGATTGATTGTTCGTTTTTTTTTTTTCCCCCATAAGTCAGACGCAGAGATGGTGGACAACTTTTGATGAAAAAATAAATGAAGGTATTCAGGCCGTGGAATCTTTCACGTGTTAACACGTGTCCTGTTACCGCAAGTGTTTCCTCGTAAACTATGATTCACCTAGTGACATAATTCCATTGCTGGACACGCTGCAGGAACAGAATCGATCAAATCGTTATCCGAGGATTAATAATATGATCGATGATCGAGTTCGATACTTTCATCGGAACGGAGCTGTCGGCGATAATGATGGTCGTTCGCGATCGCATTCCAGCGATTCTCGAGAGAAAAGTAATTGCACACTCTCGTAAGTCTAGATATCCTTTGTACGAAATGCAGGCCAGCAGAGGTAGATGATAAGCGAACCGTAAACCGCCGGCTGACATGATGAACCTTCTTTCTCCTTCATTCTTGATGGATGTCCGCGATTTCCAGCGATCGCTCGAATTTCCGTAAACAATAAAATTACCCGCAAATTATGCAAAGCAGCAGATTATACCGACCAGGGGTCTAGAAATTTTATTATCCACCGGATATTTTTCCATTGGAGCCGTTCGTTGATTCGAAATCTCTGTTCGTTCCGTGAAATTTAACACAGTTGTTTTGACATCAATTTTTACGTACAATTGTTTCGTTCGGCGAAAGAGAAAAAGAAGAGAAAAACGTACGTGTTATGTACGTTACCATGTATAAAGTGGAGAGAAAAGTCTGTCCGTGGCTATCATAGATGAATTATACATTTTCGATTTGGTGTGAATACACGTAAAAAACTTGCTGCAAAATTGACCTTGAATTTCAAGCTCAAAAAATTTTTTTTTGCACTGTATCCTTTTCATTATAAATCGTAACCTAATAGTTCTTTTGAAAAATGACAAAGAAGTTTCTTAATCATGCGGACGCGTGCGTGCTAACAGCGACTTTATGATTTTGAATGTCTATTTTACGTAATTTTCGTACTATGTTTTACTAACGTTTGGTTCAACATTGTAGCATAAGTGTGAGTCTAAATAATAAAATGATAAAACTAACTGTTAACATTACTCGAAATGTAAACATTACGTAATATAGACATCTACGCGTCCGAAACCATAAAGTCGCTGTTAGCACGCACGCGTCTGCAATGTTAAATGATTAAGAAAATTTTTTTGACCTTGAAAGTCAAGATCAATTTCGCTTTACACGTATCTCCATCAAATCGAAGATGTAGAATAACCATCTATGATAGCCGACAAACCGACAAACTTTTCTTCCCACCCTGTATATAATTTATCATGTGATATATGTGATGTATATTGGTTATACAAGACACTAGATACTAGATACTACGCCAGTTTCTAGAAGCATTGAGAAGATAAATCCTGTTTCTTAGACGCTGCCCACATATGAATTGCATTCGTTGAAATAAAATGATTATTACGTGGGCGAAATAAAATTACTATTACGCGTTTGATGATATAGTTTACTCTCACTGTCGATACTTTCTCCATATCATATGAACCGATGGTTGATCAATTTGATTAATTTGTAGAATTCATAACCTTCATTCATAAATCAATTATTACTTAATATATGGCTTTTATACAACGCATTTCATATCTTTTAAATTTTGCGGTCAATTTATCTAAACTACAGGCTATGAAGAATATTAATATATTCGATATCCACACTAAATAATCTGCAACTTTATTTCGTGATATCACTTTTACTTTTGGATTGTTTTATTCTCTTGTGCTTCAGAACATAGTAATATTGCTGATAATTATTACTTGTTTATCTTTTATATTATTTACACTATTGTTTAGTTTTTTTATTTGTATTCTTTATTTATTCATATTTCTATCTGTTTGTTTATTTATTTCCTTCTCTTATGTATCCGTTATTCATTTTTAATTTAAAATAGATAACGATCGTACGATTCTAAACGAAAAGTCTTATATTACTGATTGTAAAGGTGAAATAGAACGCATTTATCAAGTCGAAACACTTTCGACTGTAATTAACGTTCCTTTAGTTCAACTATAATTTTTCTTTTTGTTGGCTGCACCTTTTCACCGCATCTTTTCTCAGGCATCCATATGAGATTGATTAATGATCAAAAAATAACTTTTTATTCGTTGTCACATTGGTCGACATGACTGGTCCGAATTGGATCGAACAGTTACAATGACCCATCTTCTTGTCGATTTAAATCTAGAAACAAAGTGGTCGAACACGACTAACAAAATGATCGAAATGGTCCAATTTCGTAGTACAGTGTACTTTTAGAAATTTAAATGATTTTTCATAAAATGTATAAATAAAAGTTTGTGTACTCCATGTAATTATAAAATTTTTCTATTCTTTTTGCTTTATGTCTCTGATGGAAATTTTATGCGTTAATCGTTGACAGTTCTAGCATTAATAATCACATCTTTTTTTGATCGTGTATGTTTAGATCAAGAATCGCGTAGAACGAGATTATCGATTTTGTTTTTGAAAAAACTGGGTCAACAAATTACCGGACAAGTTGCGTCTAAATATTCCAATTTCGCCTTCCAGGCATAGTTATCTGATTTTCAGTTGGTGATTTGTACAATCGAAGCTTCTACTTCGTTATAAGTAATCATGAATCAAATGTATCTGACTTATTAACGAATTCTTCTTAATTTGATTTTAAATAATGTCTTTTAATTTTTGTAATTTTTACAAACACCGACATTAGGATCAGTGAACCGTAAAGAAACTTTTAGCAGAGAAATCATTGACTAATTAGAATGACCGTTAAATAATTTTAAGGTTACTCAAATATTAAATTTACAATTTTTCAATTGCCTCAGCAGCAATAAAAGTTCGCCAAAATTGCGTGATTTTATTTTATATATCGGGGTTTTTATTTCCTCAATTAAATGGTGTAACTTTGAATGCTATTGATAACATAAAACTGATTTATAATACAGCCGGAAGTCTTGTCCAAGATAGAAACTGGGTGATCATGAAAATAGAAAAACAAACTCCTAGTGTTTCGAGAAACATAAATAAAAGTTTAAATCATACAGGCATTCCTTTTGACAGAACAAGACACGCCGCCGTCAAATTCTGAAATAAGATTAAAGAGCAACATGTTCCATAAACCGAGATTACAAGAAAATACTTTAGAAATTTTGATATGATCTTCAAATTTTTCTTTTCCTTATAAAATAAATCGGTATATGTATCAGGATAACTATTAAGAAAATATTGAGTCAATTGGAGATTAGATTACAAAGAATTTTTTATATATTATTACAAAAATTATGATTAACTCTCAAGTGGTATTGTGAGCTCACAGATCACAGCTAGATAATTTTTATTTTATTACAAAAATTTAAGATATTTAATTTTATTTAATTATATCTATGTATAATATAGAATTATATCCTCTCTAAGGTAGGGATTAACGTAATTTGAAAATTTGAATACGATGTAACTTGTATCATTAAATTATTGCGTTCATCGAAAGACAATTTGATACGAAAAACTATATTATTCGTAATCCTCGAAGAATTGAAAAAAATCCTAATATGGTTGATAAGGTATGCGTTTTATAACGTTTTAATAATGATTCCTTTTTCCATGTTTTCCTCAAATTTATGAAAATAAATTAAATTAGATCAGGAATATTTTCAAGGATTGATGTTCTATATTAAATTAAATCAAGATGTTCCAGATTAAATCATTCAACCATTAATTAGATATGAGGAATTAATTATAGGTTAAAAATCTGGTCACACAGCAAATTAAAGTGTACCGAGAAAATCAGGAGAAATATCAAAACATGTATGTACATAATTTCAAGAAAAATTTCAAGAGAAATATCAAAACATGTATGTACATAATTTCAAGAAGTAGCATTGCATTTTTCTTAGTAAAAATTAAAAGGGAAGAACGTAGTTATATAATATATAACGTATATTTTATCATAGTAAAAAACCTGAAGTTTTGAATAATTAGGTTGTCCTCTTTTGTGTGTATCCCCATTGGATGGTAGTTCTCGTTTGTGCAACTTGTTGAACTATCGTAAAATTCAGCCGAGCTTTCGAGGATACGAACCGATCATTAAGAAAACTATGTCACTTATTATGACCGATTAAATAACCAAAAATAAAGATTTAAAGAATAAAGAAATTTAAAACTAAAGAGAAAGCAGACAAAACTTTTTTCCGTTTTTTATTAAAGTAAAGTGATAAGCTAGTTATATTAAAGAATTATATTAAAGAACATAGAACGTTTACATTGTGATTTATTATTATTAGAGTCACCAGTAATATGCCACTACATATCAGTTAGATGGTATATACCAACTGGTATAGTATACAACTTGAGATAATATGACATATGTACGTATCAGTTGATACATACTGTTTATCAACCTAACTGAGAGTTAAATTTCGATTTTTTTGATTTTTAAAACTACGAAAATATTTGCTCAATATTTATACGCTTACCATAGATTTTTTGCGTATGTTAATCGCGAATATTAATTAAATATCTTGTAATTTCTATTTACATATCTAGATTTATTTCTAATTTGACAAATAACGCTGATTATAGCGCTAATGAAATTTCAAAATGCTTTACAACGTAGATAATATATTTATAAAAAGCTCTTATCAATATTCAAAACTTTTTTGAGAAATTGTATCTATCTGGAAGTTGACTAGGACTTCAATGATGAATTACTGAAAAATTTGCTGAGATTACTTAACATTTTAATTCATGTTTCGTTTAAACAAGCATTCACATTCTATATCTAATTCTCCTTCTTCACTTTACTCACTGAGGAAGAAATCCTTTTTTCAATTTTCATCGAAAGTAAAAAGGGTTGTTGATACATCCCTGAATGTATGAGTCACGTAAATCTAAAATTAAGAAAAATTGGTTTATTACAGGAATGGTAAATATACTAATAACAATTCGTTTCATTTAACAATTCAACTTACCCTGTAATTTTATTTTGATATAACTAAAAAATAAGTGTTAATGATACTTGGTTGTTCGTCACCTTATCCTTAGTTTATTATTGAAAGAATGTTTTCTGAAATTATGTTATAATTACTATTATTTCACTTTAGTTTCCTACAATGAAGTTACATTCCGTTCTTAATTTGTTATTACATTGAAAGTCCAATTTTCACAACATTAAGAGAGGAGACTTAATTCATTTGCCAACTCAGGGATTCATGTAATGTACCCCTTTTCCAATTCTTCGCACTCTTGAAATTAAATCACAAGGCAGCGACGACTGATCTGACGTGATGGTTAGTCTTCTCGAACTAACCGTTGCATCGCGGGGAATCAAGATCCAGTCTCTATGCAAGATTATCTAAGCCATGGACCGGTACCCCCACTGACCTAAATGCACCACGTATAAATGGTCAAGACACCTTCTAACCACTGTCAGAGAGACCGTGGACTTAATCTCGCCTTTGCTATTTGCATAAACGAGGTGTGGTTGTTCACATGGCATCGTTCGTCTCTTCTTCTCATTACTTTTAAAGAAAGGTTTAGCGTTACGGGAATGAAAGGATCTCGCGCAAACTCGTGATAGAAAAAAATCGTTGTGTCCAGTGTTCTCGATCTTTGGATCCTTATTCATTGGGATCATGAAGTGTCTGAAGGGTAGTTGGAAGTTGAATTGGTTCGAGAAAATTGGTTTCGGTTTGTTGGTGATATTTTACTGGTTCTCGAGAGACACGTTCGCGCTGACCTTGAACAACTCGACAAGTACGTTCGTCGAGAGATGTCGAGTGGACTGCAGCCTGCGCAAGGATTTCATTACTTGCGGCAAGTACAGGATTGTCAGATGGCTTCGTGACGTTGTAAACGAAAAGGTACGATATAAGCGATGTACAGTCATCTTTATTTCGTTCAGTTTCTTATTAACCCTCGGATAGCCGGCTTAAATGAGCGACGCGGCGAGCAGATACCCGGTAACTTTTGACCCATAGCTGAATTTTTGCTATACTTGCTTTGCATATACTAACTTTTTTGATACAGGATGTTACCTAATAATGTTTATATTATTTTTATGTAATTCTTCAGCCAAAGTTTCCAGAAATATCTGTCTTTGAAATATTTTGCTTCTTCGCTACGCTCAAGTCCTGGATCAACGGTGACCCGGTGTCGGCTACGCGAGGGTTAAATGGCAAATATAAGTCCGAATGTACGATCAGATTCCGAGAAATTTCATGCTCCAGTTCTAAATCATAGATGTCCGCGCTGTTAAACCCGCATTGTACTCGTTACTTAGAAATAAGATGTCCAGATGAAACAATCTTTTCCACAAGGCGCTTTGTTGCAACGAGCAAAGACACTTTTCGAGGGGGAAATTAGTGGAAGCAGCGTGTAATTGAATCGAAACCCGTAACGATCTCGCTGCGAACTATTATTATCATTCACGTTCGTGCAGCGGCGAGAGTATCGACGCGTATTCTGTATACCCACGCTACTTTCTTCAGCTTTTACTTTTTAATTAACGCTGTTCGACAATCGAACCGTGCTGTCGTGGTCTATATGTGCGATTAATTTACAACACACACACACACACACACTTTCGCGTTTCGTAATACAAAATACCGTCAAATCAACAGGTTGTTACGACAATGAAACAATGTAATTATTCAATTACTTTCGTTAGGAATTCAACTTTGGCCCCCTTCGAATTGTGAGAATTCCATCTATGCCTGGGCCGTCGATACTCCCGAAGTTACCGCAGTCTCGCGTGTTCAAGACCGACGTGATCGAGGCCTTGAACTTCGCTAGGGACGCAGTGGATGATCTGCTAACGAAACGAGCTTTGGTTTACACGGTCGACAACTCGATTTCCGCCAGGAGTTTTGGCAGCGCGCCTATCATCGTGGACGAGGACGAATTCGCTCAACTGCAGAGCAGAAAAGAAGGTAATTACACCGTGGTGAATTGATTTAAGTTTTTTTGAAAAATTGAGGCTGTTAAATTTTTAACGCTAAAATTATCAAGACAGTGAAAATGATCGATCTGTGATTCTCATAGAAACTTTGTAAATCACACATTTTTAGAGATTCGAATAATTTTTGATAAAATACCAGAGGTGCGCATAAGTAATGTCCCTTTTTCAATTAAACATTGCGTCGCTAGATGTTCATTAACATCTCGTGACAATAATTAAAAAAAAAAAAATAAAATTTTCTACAGTATCAAAAAACGGATACCCCCATTATATAAGCGAAATATTACAAATTAGTTCTTTGTATTATAAATAAGTCAAATTCTAAGATGATGCAAAGTGTACAATAAATTTCTCACTTCTTAAGCTTCGATATCGAAATATCGGTTGGTTCTGCTCAGATGACTGGAGACTGTTCAAGAAGAAGAAGTCTGTAATCGTTCCCATTCTGATCCTGATAAATCTACTGAAGCTGAAGCTACTGCTTCTACCCATCTTCCTGAGTGTTCATTTCATCAAGAAGCTATTAGTGCTTGCATCGATAATCATCCCGTCGCTTGTGACACGTTTGAAAATTTGCAAGGTCCCGCAACCCCACCATCAGCAGGGCTATCCTTACAACATGTGGGGCACAGCTGCCGAAGCACCCGTTGATTATCCAACTGGTAAATGAACTAGAACAACGATCACGTTCTCTCTGTGTCACGCTTCGTTATTTCGGAACGATAAAAATTACAACGATTACCGAGAGGCGATCATAGAGATCTTTTGATGCAACGCATCTATGATTGAATTTGAGAGGCCGCGGGAGCATGACGATCGGAAAATACTCAGTGTACAAGACGAGTCAATGCGCTCGATGATATAATATTTCTCTCGTTGTCAATCAACTACAGTTACATAACACTCGATGATTCTTGAAATTGAATGGAATTGTCGACTACAAAGCATTTTAAAAGCTGCTCGACGGTAGTGATTCCAGTGATTGCGCGTGTTTCTACGAATATGGAAAACATGAGCGTTACTCGAGTGTGACAGGCAATAATGACTGATAGTCGCGTTTTTTGTCAGTTTAAATATAATACTTTGCCGTGGGATATTATTTATCGAGGAAAGTTGTTATTACTGAAATTATTTAAATATCTCAAGATATTTAGGAAAATATCTGAAGTCGAGGAGAATCATTTAAAATTGTTTCAACTCTACATAAATTTTTCATTTTTCCTCAGCGTACGAAGAGCCTTGGACCCACAGAAGCGACTACGTGAATCCAGTTTACTTTGGATACCAGGGCTACCGCAATCCTTACGGATGAAGCTAAGAAGCAATCGGGAAATCATCAATCAACTTACTACTTGCCATTGCATCAAACCCCAAAAAACGACGATCGTATCCCTTCTGCTTTCTTCTTCTTAGCAAACTTTCCACTGCGTTCTCCACGTGTCTGCGGTTTCCTTCTCGTGACTCACTAATCACCTTTCTTCGTTTCTAAACGTCCTAATCAAGCGACAACAATTGCAAACAGGTTTTGTTCAGCTTCGTGATTATCGTGCGCGTTCGTCGCCGCGAAATAACTTTCACACGACGTGCTCGTTACCGTTATGATATTGGTAACGAGCACCGTTCTATCAGAAATCGATGTCACGAACAAGCGTTTCAACGATCTTTTCTTACACTGCGAGCGTTCTCTGCGTGGCACGCGAGCCTCGAACGTCGTTCGTGGATACCTTGGGTACCGTAAATCCGATGGAATTCCCGAACGACACAACGCCTCGCGTGATGTCAACGCCGGCCACTTCCGGCACGAGAATTGAAGTACGGGGCTGAAGTATTGTGGTCGGCTCGTGAATGTCGAGACACGTATGTATTAAGTAGTACTGAACAACGATCGTCGGTGACTACGTAAAATGTAAAAAATTTTTTTGATAGAATAAAGTTACAAAGAGGAGCAAGAATGGTGTTTAAATTATCGGCTGAAACGTTTTACAAGATCTGTCTTGAAGCACGTAATAGCGTACGTTCGCAATAATTGTATTTGGGTACGAGAGGCTTCATTCATGGAGCGAGGAATAGATCAGCATTGTTTATTACTGTAATTACGAGGATACGTCCTAGTATGACAATGACTTTTGACTCCGGAACAGTAAGCGTTTCACCAGAAGTTCACAGCTGCAGTCTAATTTCACTCACAGTTCCTTCCAACATGAATAATGCGATCTGTTTTCTTAACGTCAGATCCAAAGTCATTCGTCAATCTACAAAGATGTATACTTTTAATTATTGTTTAGAGTTTCGATCAGTGGTTTAAATTTTAAACAGAGACAATAAAAAATATCTCCAACTGCTTTTGTCAATCCTTAGAAATTTAAAATTTCGAACGTTGGTTCTGCGTTGATTCCATGTCAATTTCAAGTCTCTAATTTCAAATTCTATTCTAAATGAAATAACGTTCCCCCCTCCTTTTCCAAGTTACTCGTCCTCCATCTCGAAATAAAATTGGTCGAGGTTCAATAACCTCACGATCATCTAAATCTTTCTACTTGTTCTCCACTTTGAAATAGAATCAATTGACCTTTTACAAACATTCAGTTTCTCCGAAATTTCCCGAAATTGTCAATTTCCTGGCTCAAAATGGAGTCGAGCGACGTTAAGTTACCAAGGAAAACTTTCAATTGTAGTTTAATATTTTTTAACGAAGATAAAATTTCCTCCTGCATCACATAAGGAAATGCATAAATAGATAATTACATAAATCTTCGAACAATGATATCAACATATGACATCACACAACAATAATACATAATTAGGATACATAACACAGTACATAATTAAAAGAGGCTGCAATGGTGCCTGGAGTTTCGCACAGTTCGACACAAGTGTACCAAAATTCTCCGAATCTTCCGGTCGCCGAGATGGGCGATCCACCTCGATCGGTGAGCGCAGGTGATGGTCAAGGTCGAACCATTGGAAACTCGAAAGAGAGGCGGCCGAAGGAGAGGTGTCCCGCGCACGAATGACCTACTGACAGATTTGGACGGCGCGGCGTGTGACGCGCGGCTTCCGCACGCGCGTGTTGACCCATGCACGCATGCACGATCGACGAGACCGTTATAGGGCCACGTACGCGAGTTCGAGGCGGATGTGGCGCGGTCGTCCTCGCGTTCGATGGTTCCGCGGAGGCGAGTGAATCGCGCCCCGATCGTTCCACGCGATACCAGTTAACCATCCGCCGCGTTTAATAACAATGATCCGGCCGATAGGTTGATGCGTTCGGGGCAGCGCGCCGCAGCGATCAGCGTGCAGCCGACACGCCAGCCTGCGCTCGCCATAACTCGACCGTTACGTTAGAACCGTCGAGTATTAACATAACGGCACGCCACGCGATGCGTACACCCGATGCTCGATATATCACGGATCGGTTTCGATGGTGCCGACCGATACGCGAATCGATGACTGACCGTTGTAGATTGTCGTCGTCTCCGATGCAGATTACAGTGAATGGTAGAAAGGGGAACCGGCGTTCGACTGTATCGCCAGCGAAGATGGAAGAATTGTAAATCGAAACGAACGACAATGGAACTTGGTATAATTGCCAGTTGGAACGGAATGGAAGCTGAAGCAATCGTAGATTGAAGCGGCTGAAAAAAGAGAAACAGTATCGGTGGTAAAAGGAGATGGATAGAATATTAAATATCGAAACCTCTACTTTTGAGGAAAATATTCAATTTTTGGTTAACCTCTAACAATTGAAAAATTCGACGAATTGCGAAATTTTATACTACGTGAGAAAATATAGACATTGTTTCTCGTGTAACATGTCTATCGAGTAAATCGATCTTTCAATTTTAATGACAAAATTTTACGCAATTTAATTTCGGACGAAAATTTAAACGATATTTTGAATAGAATATGATAGTACGAACGGTTTCTCAGATTTTGTTTGCGAAGAAGAATTTGATGAAATGTATGGTGTAACACTTCGGAAAGTCTCTCGCCTCGTTTTTAAGGAAGCGTTTATGGAAAATTTATGCGCGTATGTAAAGTTGTACGGGGACATCCGATGGACAGAGAAGAAGCAGCGAAGCACTTTCTAAAACCAGTTAATCTTTCTTGTTTACAAGTTCAGTCTTTCCCATTTTTTGAACCTATTTTTTTCTTGAGATTAGATCGATCGACTTTTTGCTCCTCATCGGCTGAGAAGATGCGCGCTTCTTGCAACGTACAATTAGGTTGCAACACATTTCCGGCAATAACGCGATTTTCTCTCAAGTTAATTCGAGGACTGCAATTTGTTTCAAAAAATTGTCGAATTGTTCATCAGCACTTGCCAAAGGTACAAAAAACGTTCGCTAGTTGGTGATTCAACGCGATCTCGCGATTCGTGAGGTTAATGACTCACCTAAATTGCCAATTCCGAGGAAGTAAAAGAGATGAAAATCATGTCATCTTGAACGAATAATCCTCCGATTATTACAGATAACAGAAATCACTTTGCGCAATGGAAACATTTACTTCATTTGGTTTACTGTTTCGTTTCCCTCACAGACGAGCAAAGTCACGTCGATCCTTTTTCTCTCTCCATTTCATTTCTCCAAGCGACCCGAACTCGAGACCAGAAGTCATCACGATCGTCGAGCAACAAACGTAGGCGTGAAATTCTTGAAAATAAAAAAGGGAACAGTGTGTCTCATCGTGACCCGTATTCTCGAACGAACACGTTTTTACCGGTTGGGCGTAGCTGTGTGTCAGCGAAGGATCTCGCAATAACAATCGGAGAGGCGCTAACTCGGAATCTCGAGATTATGAATTTCTGAATTACACTGCTAGACGAAAATAAAAAGTCTGTCAGTGACTCTTCCACGTTTCTCTAAATGTCACGCCAACGCTTCGATATCAATCTAATCTAAATCTCTAAACACATTTTGCTTTCTAAATACGACTCGATGCCAACGATTTTTTTTTTTTGAAATTAAGATTCCATCCACGCGCGCGATCAAATTTTTCTCGGCTGCGAGTGAAACGCGCGGGTACGATCGACCATTTCGAGGAATCGAAACCGAAGGAATAACCGAACGGTTCGGGAATTCGGGACGCGGCCACAGTGAAATCGTTCGTAAAAGTGTGCTCGGTATCCAGTCTGTGTTTGGACTCGCACACGAGACACCCTTTTCTCCTGATTAACGTCATTAACGTTCACGATTTTTTCCCATTCGTGCGTTTCACGTACTCGTAACGAACGAGTACCACTTTGAACGCACGAATGGAAAATCCAGCTTCCGGATGAAAGACGGTTCGCGTTAGTCGGCGTTTTATTCGCGCGTTATCTTTTCGATAGGTAAGCGAAATAAAGTCGAAACCGGACTAGCGACCTACTTGAATGTCAAACTCTGCCTGTGCTAATATTTATGTCGATGGTGCAACGACAGTGGGGACGCATGCGTTGAATACCGGTGATTTTCCACGACGAGCTTTCTGCGCGAGCTTCCCGCGCTTCGACGTCTCTTGATTCCGATTAGATTTCTCCTTGCGTTTGACGACGTGATTGTCGACGAGTATCGACGCATCACCTTCAACTTTTCCAAGTTTTCCGTCGACGATCCGTGCATCTACTTTTAATCGATCGTTATAGTTATTCGCGAGAAAATGCGAAAATTCGAATAGCTTTTGTGTACCAATTAATCGTACAGAGTTTCGACTGACACGTACAGTTTCACGAAAGTTATGACCGATTATGAGAAAATTATTCGAAGAATGTGTTAATTAATTAACTGACACGAGTGTAATAATAAAAACTCAATATTTTCAAACAAATTCTTGTACCGAATTCGACAGAATTTGACTTATTTGGCAATAATTCTACACCCACGGCGTATTATAACAAGAGAAATGAACATAATCATTTCACAGCTCAATTAATTGAATTCACGAGTAAGCGTTTCCCCATTCATTAAAGGCATTCAGCCATTTGTAACAGTACTATCTACTACGTAGCAGCGCTATGTTTATTATTAAAACAGGATAGCGGATTCTTGCGAAAAAAGAAGACATCGATGCTCGTTGCAATATTTAACAGGTGAAACGGGTCTCTGTCTACCAGTCATAGAAGCGCCAATTTGCATGAACGTCCACAGTATAATGGCGGTCTCGCGACTGGAACTAAAAATCGGAATAAAAAGCCAGATTTGACACGCGCTCGGCAAGAAGATCGGAGAAGAGTAAAGAAAAGTCTGGAGCGTCGTAAGCCGAAATTCCGGCCGGTGAAATCGGTCCGGCGCTGGTTAGACAGACCCGCGTTTAAAATTTGATCGGATTTGAATCGGCGGAGGACGGCGAGCGTCTGCCAGGGCGAAAGAGAAAGACGAGGCTATCGCGGCGGGAGCGTAATCGACGAATGAACGAACGTAGAAGCGAGGAAGGTGGAAAGGAACGGACAGAGGGACGGACAGACGGATGGCCGGGTAACCCAGATCGGATCAGCCGAGCCGATCCTACGGAGACTCGGCAGTCGCATCGAGTCGACGGACGCGCACGATCTCGACGTCCTTTTCCTCGTCGTTCCATTCGCCAGTGTCGCCGCGGTGCAACGATTCCAAACGACACTTAATCCGAATCTGCCGCGTTCGCCAACAGTCCCTCGGTATCTCCACCAAGCGCACCGACATCTAATCCGATCAAGTTCTTTCATGTCATTTACGGGTCGCGACAGTGAAAGGGAAAGACAGTCTCGTGTATCTGGTGTCGCGTCGGACAAGAGGTCGTTCCGTGACCGGTGGAGACGAACGGTCGCGAGTCCGCGATTATTAATTAAGCTTCCTGACTTTCAAGAAAAACTTGTTCACGGTAATTAGTATATTTATCTGACTGACACGTAGATGCCGTTTTATCCCGGTTCAAAGATCCGTTGTACGAGAGATCGCGTTGCTTTTATTATTTCAGAGGACATCGAGCGAGCGTCGCGCACCGAGATGCAGTTATCTTTCGGCAATAAGAGAAGTTAGTCAAGAGAGCGAGAGCGAGGGCGAAAGAGAGAGAGAGAGAGAGATAGTTGCGCGAGACGCGTTGCAAGTCGGGGGAACATGGGTGGATCGAGAGGCAGCGCGATCCTGTTGATCTTGGCGGTCGCGTGGTTCCGGCTGGCGGTTTCCGGGGTCAAGGACCACGTGGTGGCATTGAACGTGACCGATCATCACGGACCGGCGCTGGCGGACTCTGTCGAGAACGAGGTCTCTTTCACCAGCGACGAGTTGGACCAGCATCCGCACACCATCTCCGGTAAACCGACGAAACTCGACACGAACGTTAACCAGATGATTCAGACGGACGACAAGTCGCAGTATCAGATCGAGGCGACGCGAATGGAGAACGCGACCGCGTCTCCGTTGCAGTCGACCGAGTGTCAGAACGGCGAGGCGATGACGACGACGACGACGACGACAAAGGATCTGTTTGACCTGCTCGACAGATTGTCCAGGATCGACACGTACAACGTGACCGACTCGGTGCAGATCGTAAGAAACCAGGATGTGGTCGCCAGGAAAGACGAAAAAGGTAACGACCGGCCGGACGCGACGCTACTCGATAAAGTTCGCCGGTACGCAAGGGAACACGTAATAAAGATACGTCTGAGCCAGGACTTAATACCTGATAGAAAAGCTAGAACCTTCTTCAACGGTGAGTCCAACGGTAACGTGTTCGTGTCACGCTTTCCTAATCTTCGTTTGCACCAGCAAAGCGGTTTGTTCGGCGCATCATGGTTTCACGTTGGCATGGACTGTTGTTTGCCTCGGATCGATTCCGATTGCTTTTATCGCTGTGCCTCCCGCTCGCCGAGAGAGTCGTGGAACACGCCATTCAGCTGGTAGAACTGGGTCTTGATTGTGGTTACGCGCGTTCACTTCTGCGCGAGGGATACGTGCGAGATGAAAGGCGAACATATCCTGTAAATATTTGTTCCTAACACTCGTCCGCGAAAAAAATTCGTTTTGCGAATGGATCTGACGGCTAGCTTCGTCTAGAAAGTAGGCATGTTTGCGCAGTTTTTCGAGCCGACTTTCCTGAAATAAGACTCGCGAGAGATAAAAGAAGCGACAAAGGAGAAAAGTAAACGTTCGACTTGCCGGAAGCTAGAAACCTGCTTTCCGTCCCTTCACTTTTACGCTTGAATCCTCGAATTCTCGATTCAGGTTTCGGCCAAAGTCGGAAGGCAAGTTTTCGTCCGGACGGAGTGCTACAATAAAGACCCAAATACTTTTGCTTTTGGATGAAACTTAAATCTTGGAAGATAGGTGCACGTACACGCAAACCTCGAGCGAAAACGGTGAAAAATCACGTAACGAACGAACGATTATCGCGCGTCGATCATACGCTTCTCACTGATTGGCTTCTCACTAAAATGTACTAAAAAATGAAACAAAACAACGGTTAGCTGGGTCACCGCTGATTGGCAAAATAAAAAAATTCGGCTGCATTCACGACGCGAACGCAAGCGTTGCGCAACTGTGTTAATTGAAAATTGTCTTGGCTACTTGAGTATTTTATATGTATGTTGAGTGACATTTCAGAGAAAAATCCTCGTGTCTACCACCATAACCGACTGAAAACTGAAAAGGCGAGCGAGAAAAATGTAGAGAAAGAGAGAAAGAGAGATAGAGATAGAGAGAGAGAGAGAGAGAGAGAGAGAGAGAAAGAGATAGAGATGTGCAGGCTGCAGCATGGCTTACAGGACTAACCGCAGTGCTTTAATTTGCTGGTACTTTTGCTTTCAGCCATCTTTCAGGGAAAGAGTACCTTTTTAACAGGATTCGGACTTGGTTTTCTAGCATTTGGCCTGAAGAAGCTGCTGCTACCTCTGATTTTTGGTGTACAGATCATTAAGAGTGTCTTACTAGCGCTTTTCCTCCCAAGTATCATCGGAAGTATCAGTAATATCGTCGGCAAAGGTACGTATTTATATTACTTAGTTTCAATGTCGACTCACCTGTATTTGCTTTAAATCAGTAGCTGATATACAGGTGATACAAGCGGAAAGGAGACGAATCTATATAAAAAAATAAGTCGAAGGAAAAAGAATAAAATTTTTTCACTCTCAAGTCTTTCTCGAAGACAACAGCTTCAATGAAAAAATTTCATTCTTTTCACTCGTCTTATTCTTTTTTTCGTATCGCCAGATCGATGACACACAAATTAAATGAACCAATAAATAAATAATTATAAAATAACTGGTGGATAAACTTATTTGTCTGTCTTGTTTCGTGGCTCGAGTTACTGACCGAACTTTTCTTGCAGGAGTTTCATCGTTTGCGCAATCGACGCACACCACGGCGCAGCCAGAGGAAAGCTTCGAGTTCAAGGATAACTCCGACTTGTACAACGACGACTATTTGACGCGACAACCGGTAGGAACGTTACCAGCCTCCGCGATGTACGACGAAAGTATGATGCAGTCTCAGAAAACACCAGAAATCGCCTCTAGATACTCCTACGTTGATCCTAAAATTACACACGCGAATGCCGTTGCTGATCGTTATTACACCAGGCACGTTGCTGCACACGGGCTTTCTAAGAAGCAAGATTTTAAGGTAATACTTCTCGTTTTCACGGATTTTCCAATTCGAGAGATTAAAACGTGTCGTAACATTGTATTTGCATCGATGATTTCGTCCTTCTTAATCCAATTACGAACGTTTCATTCATCACTTTAAATTCCTAACAAATTTTCTGAGTCAATCAGTTAACTGTTTTACTATTACATCCATCGAAGATCTTATTTATATAAATGTTCGTTCAGAATTGTCTCGTCTCTCAAGATTTTCATATTTCTCTCAAGATTTTCATAAATCTTCAAATTTTTCGTTCAAGTGTTCATTTACGTAGATTTCTCATCTCAAGATTTTGACGAATTTTGAAATTTCAATTATATAATATATTGCACCCTGTTTTGTCTAGATCTCACATCCCGAGGCTGACACAAGTTTCACTAAATCTGTCGCAATTGCCAATATTTTATTCAGTCTAAAAATCGAAAAATTCTGCAGAAATCGCAAAAATTTCCGACAAATATTTAATGCATCGCAATTATCAATGTCTCACCCTGTTTATTTAGGTTTCTTATCACGAGCCTGTCGCAAATTTCACTAAATATTTCATTCCGAGTAAAAAAAATTCGTCAAAAATGACAAAACTTCTCTCGAAAATGCAACAGGTGTTCCACGAGATTCCGACGAGTTCGCTGCTGCTAACCAACTACGATCCTTTCTACTCTCCCCTGTTATCACGCCTGGACGCCGTGTTCTCTCGCCTCGGCCACACGACGGAGGGTTGCAGAGAGTACGCGGTGTGCGCGATGTACAGGAGTCCCGCCAGGTACGCGCCATACTCGAACTTAGTCTCGGCGCAGTTGTCCAGAGAGTTGAACGAACTGAGAAGACCCAGCAGCGACAATCCCGACGTTCTGAGGTTCTTCCGGTACATGAAGGCCGCGAAAGATGGCCAAGACGGCGTGAAGTGCGAGGACGCGTACGCGAGTTGCGCGATCGCGCGACAGGATCAGACTCTCAGGCAAAATCAGGCGATGTTGGCTACTTATCAGGACATTGACAAGCTCGTCCATGCGAGGAAGCTGTAAGAGAGAAGAAAAGGAGCGAGGATACAATCCTGGGACTGAATGATTGCGGTCGAAGGATATTGTGTTTTTATTCAGTTGGATGTGAGACGATTCGTTGATTGTCGTTAGTTGTACTTTGGTGCACAGGTATACGAAGACTTTGAGCCAATTGCAGTTCCTGAAAATAGTCTGAATGGCACTTTAGCGAATCTACTTGAATTATGATTTTATTTTTCTATTATTTCTGTCCATGCTTCGTTTATTTACACCATCCATGAGTAACATAACCCAACTATTTAATTACTCATTGCTCGATTGTTTTGATTCCTCATAGTCTACACACTACTCGTGTAATTTAAAAATTTGAAAATTGTGAAAAGTTTATTTGTTACACTTCGTAAGTACGATACTTGTTTGTTACAATTATTAATAGTTGCCAGATTTTAAATCAAATCAATCCTACTTTTCCGAATAAACGAAGTTGTAATCGTGGAAAATCAAATTGGAAAGAGTTTCAACGATTTCTGATTAATTTGTATCAAATTTGAATGCTAGAACTTTCGACTTACGAATTTCCGACTCTGACGAAAGAGTAGCTTGAAGAACGCTTCCGTCCGGCGTTGAAATCTCCGCGCGGTCACAGTAGCGCCTAGTTATGATGCGTTTGAACCAAACGAACGAATGCTCGTTCGTATCTTGCGTCAATTAGATTCGTATCACCTGTTACTTCACTCACATCACTATTAAGGAGCTACTTTAGCAAACGAGCACGAGTTTGATCGAGCTGGGAGACGAAACGAGCACTCGTTCGTTTAATCTAAACGCAGCATTGCACGAGATCTCTTTATATATATATACTTCCAGATTCGTTGCCGTTCAGAATATTTAAAAGATCATATTCACCGAGGCTCAAGGTCAACTATCTCCGCACCTGGTTACCTCCGTACACGACGACAGATTCTTACTCACATACTCGATCAAATTAAAGACAGAATCAAAGACGCTTAACATAAAATAATTTCGCGCGTAGGCCAGACGAAGGAAACAAATGACGATCATTACGTGGACCGTGATAACGGTACATGATAGCTGGACAGACCGGTGTATCATTACCGGCGTTCGAATGTTACGCACTTACGTAATAGTCGACTTATACAGTGGCTAGAAGTAGGTCCGACAAATAACTATACGCGATTAGAGACACGCACAATTTACCAGGAAATAATTTCATGGGCGTGTTTCCGTGGAATTCGATGTTTCGAACTGTACTAACGTTCGATCGCCACGGTAGTAGGGATGCTCGATTACGTTCGATCGAGCCGTCGTGGAAAATCGCGAGGTGTCGCGAACGCCTCGATTTTCCACTGGCGGGGAACCCAGTGATTCACGATTTAGCGGTTTTAATTTCAATAAAGCAGCGAGTGACTGTATGACGCGGAGCTTGAGGCCACGATACCAATTCAATTCCTACTTGGCGTGGTCCACCCTCCCGCGAGCTTAGATATTTATTTATTGGCTGCGAGAAATCGCGGCTGTTAATTTATTAATCGGTCGTGCGAGGTGAATGAATGCCCGCGCCCACCATTACTGGATCTATTTATTCATCCGATGCGGATCAACGCAACTCTTCTGTACAGTGCGTCAATAAAACGCTGTGAATTGCGCTAAGATTTCCTCTTTCTCTCGCGCAACATGTTCTATCCCAAACTACAGTGTTGCATAATTACAATTAATACCCAGAAAACGTATTCGAGTTTCAGTGAAACTTCGTTTACGACACAAACTAGAAGAGGCTATTGCGTGGTGGAACAGTTTCAGGAAAGGACCATCAAACCGAAGAAGACGCGCATACACACACACGTGGATGCGTAGGTGTGGATACGCGTTAAACACGAGAGAAAACGAAAGAGGCAGAGCGATGACGCACAGCTTCATCATGGATTACGAAGGAAAGTCCAGAAACTCCGTGTTGCTCGTTGCTCTTGTTCGTCCATCTTTATTCAAAACCGCTCGGTTCCGGTCTTACATCCGGAGACCACTTTCACTTTCGATTTTTACTCGTCTGTCTTTTTTTTTTCCCCTCTGCTCCCACGACAACCCACGATCTTTCTCCTCTCACTCCACCCCGTATGAACGACGCTTTCTCATATAAATGAAATGGCCAGACCTGAGCAAACGTGTCGCATTGCTCCAAGTTCGTCCTCCGGCGTTATTGGCCGTGATCTCGTTCGGCATTTCCATCGAAAAGGTGAGACTCGCTCTCGCGACTCTAGTTTCTTCTGAAATGATAATCCGGCGGCAGTGTAATTTTCTCGGCTGCGGTCGAAACACCGGCGATTACGGTAGCTTCGTGATAAGGTTAACATTTTTCTACCGGTTTGATCAGCGGAAGGTAATTTGGTTTGAAGAGGTGGAGCAAAGTATTGATGTATTGGTTTGTCAATTTGCGAGAATTCTGTGATTATCAAGCTGCGAGTTCTTTTTACGAAGTAGAATGTACGTAACTGAAATTTGTGAAAAATTTGGAGAGGCAAGAATGCAGGCAACAGTAAGTAATATGGAACAGTAAAGTATCTAACAGGTAAAATAATTTTAAGTAGGCACTTAATAGGCTAAAAATAATTTTCTACCTATTAAAAGCTTCGCTATTTTAATTATCTTTACGAAAACAAACAATTGCACATCTCTAGTCTATACATACGACATGCAAAAATGTGTAAAACATTGGAAGTAATTGGCATTCATAAAAATATTAACTTGCGCAAGAGGTAGTCTAGTAATTAGTAATAGTTTTACGAAAGTAACTACTAATGTAAGAAGACGTAGATTAGCACGTTTGTAACGTTGATCCACGAATCTTTCAAAATTGAATCGTTTCAAAATTCGTTAGGTTCATGGTTTTCGTCAAGTCCCGACGAAAATTGATTCCTAACAATCAAAGACAACAAAAATTTTCACAATATTCTAAATACCGTCGTAATAAAATTACGAATTAACGAATTATAATGACATTTGGTGCGAAATTCGGCTGGAAAATTCAAAAATGAGTGCGTGATCGGCGTTACGAATGTCGTGGACACGCGACCGGAATACAAGGTTACGGACCCGGTTCCTTTGAATCAGGACTCCGGATTGGTCCGCCGAGGTAACGGCACTTCGATATCTACCGCGCGGTTACGATCGAAGTTGGTCTCCGGCAGACGCTCGAGTGCGGTTCGTGAATCACGACCAGCGTTCTTCTTTTTTTTTTGCCATTAAATTGTGAAATCATGTCGTTCCTGAATCCAGTCGGTTGATGGAGCTTGGTAAGAATCAGCCGTTTATTTTTCCTTCGACGTTATTCGCTGTTATTCTCTTACTTGTTCTTTGATCGTGAATTTAAAAAAAAAAAAAAAAAAAAGGGACAGCTGTTTTGATAGAACGCGAATGGCGCTACGGTACCTGTCGACGATTCGCTTGTTCGTCTTGATTTCTCGCGTGTGTGACGTTTCGTATCGTTTGACGAATGTCCCGTGTGAAACACGTGTCGATAAAGAAACGTGACTGCAGGTGAGAAGCATGCGACTGGTGCAATTGCTGGTAACACACGGTCTGGTGCTATTGTCAACGCTGTTGGTACCTTGTCTGTCGGTTACCTTCGAGGATGGCACTTCCGGTGAACGCTCCGAGGCGCGCGGTAAGATATTTCAGAGTATAATTTCGAGAAACATGTATCGTCGGTTTGTTAAATGACTGGCACATTTCAAATTGTGAATGAAAAATTGTCAATTTCGGGACAGGTGTACAATTGTTTCTAGAAACGAGCTATTTACTAGAATGCAAAGAAGGCTAGTTAAATTGTGAAATAATTTTTGTTATCAAACAGTCGAGTAATTAATAATATTCTAACTTTCCACTTTCCACTTTCAATTTAAAATTCCAAAATTAGTATTTTGCCCAATTGTGTCGTTTTTCTAACAAATTGACGATACATATTTGAATTAAAATTATAAATCAGTATCTGAATTAAATTAATGAATGATTATTTGAATCGAAATTGTGAATGACTGTTTGAATTAAATTAAAACAATCAATATCGCATTAATTTATAATTCAAATTATATTAAAACGTTAATAAAAAAAAGTGTCAATAATTAAATAGAATTGAATAAAAGTAAATGTCGATAAACATTAATGTCGAAAGAAATTAAACCAAAATATTAACAATTGACATAAATATTAATTTGCTAATTTATAACTCTAGAAAACCACGTGCCAGAGCCACAGGAGCAGGTGGCTTTCAACAAAACACGTCAAGGAAAAGGGCTGTTCGATTGGATCGGTCTAGGCACAGGACGAAACGTGGATCCATATATAGCAAAGACGAACAAAGGCTGTCTGAATGGCGACCTGGCGGAATGTTTCAAGTCGCAAGCTTTAAGCTACTTTTCCGATTTCTTCGATCACTCTCGCTACGATCTGAACGATTACGTAAAGGTCGTTAGAATGTCCAGGGACATAGTGCAGGAAGTCAATCGTCAACCGTATGAATATTCCAGCGAAGCAAGGTACAATTCATTCCAAGAATTCGTTCGTATAACTTCCTCCGAGAACAATACGAAATTTCTTTTCACTGATTCCTGCGTAATTTCAGGTCTGGCGACTCTGAATGGGACCAGCTGATGAAATTCGCTCTGAGGAAAGCGGAAAAATTCGTGAAGACCGTGGCCATCGAGTTACATATTCCTTCCGAAGAAACTGGGGAGAATGAAGTGTATGCACCACGATTTTTGGATGAAATCGCCGACGAAATTGACACTCTTGAGAATAAAAAGGATACTCTTTTCTGTGAGTCCATCTCTCACGAAAATTTTACTTTTTCCCTAGCTTTTATGTATTTTTTCTATTTCATTTCTTTATTTTATATATTTCTATATAGATTTCTATATGCTACTGCAATGCATTCTACATGAAATATTTCTGTATTATTTTTAATTATTGTTATTTCTATTTCATACGTTGTTTCTATCTTTTCTATGTTATATTTTATCGTAGCATTATTATTAATCTTATTCTTCTTTTCGTAGCACGTCACCAATTGAAGAAACTTCTTATTCCTATGCTCATCGTGTTGAAGCTCTTCAAATTGAAGCTACTCTTGTTCCTGCCTCTGATTCTGGGCCTGGCATCTTTCAAAAAATTCCTCGGTTTCTTAGCGATAGTGATACCTGGTTTAATCGGATTTTTCAAGCTGTACAAGCCACTCACGCAGAATTACCATCCGCCGATCTATAGCCAAAGCGGTATAGCTTATCCTTATTACAAGGAAAATTCCAATAGTTATCCTTACCCTGAACAGGCTGAATATGCAGGTGGATATAACAGGGATAGCGTGTCTTTTGGACAGGATCTTGCTTATCGAGGCTACAGAGACTACCACTCGTAAAAATACACTGAATTTGCTCTCTTTAACGTCTAAGAATCTGATAGAATTAGAATATTTGGTTCGATTGTAAGCATTGTCATTTTTCGTACAATTGCGTTAGTTTTTAAGATGAGAAATCTTTTGAAAAATTCTGAATTTCTAAGGATTTTAAAAGGTTACTTTCTGTTTGCCTGTGTTTGCTCTCTTTAATTTATCGGAGAAACTGATAGAATTATAATATTTGAGTTTGCAGAATTATACAGAATTACGATATTGGTACGTATTGTCATTTTTGTATAATTGCGTTAAAGAAATTTAAAATGAGAAATCTCTGAGAAATTTTAAATTTCTAAGAATTTATATGTTTTACGACAGGAGCTCTCTTCTTAGATTAGCGATTACACAGTGCTCAAACAACATTGCCATATTTCAACAGTTTGCTGTTCAAGTACTAATTGATATCAGCGATGTTTTTCGTAATAGGCGAAAATTTTAATTGAGCTACTAAGTTCTGTACATATTATCTAGGTGCGAATGTAGGTACTTGAAGAACTAGCACAAAGTAATATTCTTCATTATACATTTGTGATAATTCATCGTGTACATCGTTTAGAAATTAAATCTAGTTTTACAATTATTAGTTGTTATTAATAAATTGTATCATTTTCTCTCACGAATCCTATAATTTTCGTTAATCATAATAATACATACCGAATAAGAAATCACTTGGAAAACTAACTTTTTCAAGATTCAACATTGGCACAGCCAATTTCTAATGCACATCTAAATGTGATAGTAATAATCAAAACTGTAACCAAAACAACATGATAGAAATAAAATTAATTTTTCTGGAACCGCCTATCCATAATAATTGTCGTGGGAAGAAGAAATGTAATTTTCTCTACTTTGACGTTTTTGTTTCTTTATTATTCCCAGTTATTTTAGAATACAACCAATAATCTCCTCAATGAAACAGAAATGAAATCAGGCCACCGGATATGGAAAATGAAACCCTGATTAGAGGTGGAGCAGCAGCATTGTCAATTGCAATTTTCTTAGTTGATACATGAAGTGAGACGGAAATAATGAACGACGCATCGGTACAAAGGAAATCGCCAACCTGATTTTGATTTCTTCATTTTTCCTTCTCGCATTAGGCCAATGTGAGTTAATTAAATTCGTACTTTCATTTATTGATAAAAATTGATAAAAATTTGATAGTTCAATTAATGATAAAGGCCATTGTTTTATTGGGCAATAAACGCGAGTAGAAAATCACTGGAAAGCGACCTCATATACCGTTCCTCAATTATCGGATTATCTCGTTGACCGTTTTTCTGCGTTTCTTCGGCTCGTTATCAATTTTTCCAGCTGCGAGCCACTGAAGAATAAGGTCACAACCACAGTGTATTGATATTACAAAAGGACCATATCTGTTTTCATAGACTTTGACACGAATTAATGCATCATTAATTCGTGACGAAACAAACGAAAAACGAAGAAAAACAAGCGAATTTCTTCATTGTTTCTTGTTACTTTTCCCTTCTTTCGAAATATCCGAGGCTCTATTCTCGCTCATGAATAATTAACAACCTGTCTTTAAAACTTAAGTTTCGCAGGGTATACCTCAATTAATTATTCAAATATGAAAATCATACATCACAAGACGATTTCTCTTTTAAGATAACCTGTTTAACCTTAGGTGACCAACAATATCTCTCAATTCATTTCGTCAAAGTCTCACTTTAGAAACTTTGTAAAGTACAGCTCGATTAGTCAGTGAAACTTGTTTTTGCAATCATCCGTCCAATCGATTGACTAAAAGTTCAAGTTTATCGCGTTAAAAACTTGATTCAAAAGCTGGTAAAATACATCTCGATTAATCAATGCAATATAAATAATCATTCTTCGTACACAATTTCTCTGTTCTTTTAAATTTAAATTTAAAATTAATTTAAATTTTTTAATTTTTTAATTTAAATTTAGTTTAAATCTAAAGTTAGTCCAAGATTTATTAAATCAGAACCTTGATTTAATCAGCGAAATATAAAAAATTATTCTTCAACTATGACTCTACCAAACAATTTATTCAACCTTCGATGACCAACTGGAGCTTCAGGTTCATTACGTTAAAAATTTAAATTGAAAAATTCGCAAAATATAGCTATATATCAACTAGTTAGCGAAGTGCAAAAATTTGTAGTTTACAGAAAACACAAACTACTGTGTCATCGTAAACCGTTTAATTAATTGTTCCATCGTAATATTAATTTTCATGTTTTCGATTGCAAATACCTTAAAACGAAGTTTCTCTTGTTCACATTTTCAACTGACGGCGGACAAACAGTCGACTTTCAGTAATAACAGCCACGATATTAGACGATAGACATTTCCATGTGCTTGATGCTTGATCGAAACGCGTTGTTCGTGCGTTCCTTTCCCCCCCCCTTTTCACCGCTAGCCTGACAAGCAGCTCGAATCGCGTGAAAATCTCGTCGCGAGGATCATGCTTGATTTTCTTTCTCGTTCCGTTGCCTGTAAAATTGAAAAAGGAGGGACGAGCGCGCACGGTGGCAACCGGTTCGATGCGATTCTCACTCGCAATCCAGAGAATCCGATGGAACTTGTTGACCAAGTGGCCTCATTCGATCAGAAGACCGGAAGCGGCCCGCCACACTGTCTCCAGGCGATACACGGAAAACACGGAAAGTTGTGGCGTATTACCTGGCAAAAACGGCCGATTTTGCGAACCAGTTTGTATCGTCCGACGTCTCACAATGAAATCGCGCACTTCCGTTACACGTGCGACGCCCGATTCCTCAGATTCTTCTGGATGCTCCAACTGGAGAGAATACAGAGAATTTAGTTGGAACTGAATGTAGGTTCGAAAAACCGGCCACGGTTTTTTCTTCTCACAAAGATATGAAAAGAACGCGATGAGTCATTATTTTATTCTTTTTATTATTATATATTATTATATATTATTCTTTCTTATATATTATTATATATTATATATTATTCTATAGGTGAATAGTTTCAAAACTCATCGTTGTCCCCTAATTTCGTTTGATTTTACGTTGTGTTAAATAACGTGTAGGTTTTTGTCGTCTTTGTAATTTTAGAAATATTGCTTGTCGTAATATTGAAACATTGAAATATATACAGGTGGTACCTATTAACTGTGCTTTCGACTATTTTCAACATTAAAATAAAAAATTCGAAAGAAACATAAAAGATATTGAATGAAATATAAAAAGATTCTGCTATAAAAATTGTTATATATAATTTCTTTTGAAGTTGAATTTTGTTTCAAACATTCTAACCGTTTGAGCGCTCACTAAAGTTACCAAAAGTATAACTGTGGAATAGGAGAATGTAATTTTTGATATTACTTTAAACGTATAACTTTCAACATGCTTATTTAAAAGCGGTCTAAAATCTCCTTGTTTCCTTAAAATGAAAATTAAAATTGAAACATACGAATTATCACAGCAGGATATTATCATTCACCTTAATAATAATATCTTCAATTTCTTTTTATATCGAAATATAAAACAAAAGGCAGCTCGAAAATTTTTTCCTGTAGGAGAATTCAACTGAGATTCTTTCGTATTTTTCAAACAAATGGAATGATATTTTATATGAAAAAAAGAATAAAAAAATACTAAAAAATAATAATAAAAAATACTAAAAAGATAATAAAGGATAATAAAAGACACGAAAAGATTTCAGTTATTAAATACTTGTATCTGATCGAAAGGATAGCATTTCACGATCTCGATCGTATATCACAAAAATCGTGCAGGTAGTTACACTCGCTGGTTTCTCTTCGGCAAAGTCAGATCACCGTTTCCGTAGTCACGACCGCGTGAGGGTTTGAAAGGGGAAAAACCAGCTGTATAACCAATCGTTATCAATCCTTTCATCCGCAATCACGGACCCAAGCGCGAACCGTCTAAACGTTTTGTAGTTTCACTTTTAAACGAACGGCCACTAATACGCGGTGACGTCGCGTGTGTGCAATCCTGCTCGATCGATATTAACGATTGGAAATCAAGGTCGCCGATGTGCTTTCGGTCGGGTTGTGGCTACGGCGTGACCTTGATACGCGCGCGGATCCAGAGGGGTGACGCGCGGAGTGATACGAAATTTCCTGCACGGCACGGTCGACCGAGCCGCGGAACCAAGTCGCGCTAAATCGCCGATACGAATGGTAACGCGCGAGGGGGAAAAAATGAGGAAACAAGGTTACCCGGGAGAAAGTTAAACGAAACACGTAGATGTCAAAGGCGCTCGAGCAATGCAAATCGACGGGGGGATCGCGCGCGTGACCGTTCGCGATTTTTTAATTCCCCTTCTGTGTTAGTTGGTTAGTTTATTCTGCAAAACGGTTCTTCACTGATCTCAACTGAGATCCGCGTACGGTACTGTGTGTGCATATGTACGTGTGATTGTGTTAGATGAATGAGACTTCTACACGGAAGCGCGCCTGCTTTTACCTGGCAGATTATAATTGACGCGCGTCCTTTCAGTTATTCTGACTTGTCAGTCAGTATATTTCTTTGCGATTATTGGTAGAAATGTGTTGTAGGCAATTAATTTGTAAATATAATTATATTGTACAATTAAACAAAAGTTATTCTCGCATCTCTATTTTCTGTAGGTTGTTGTAGATAATTATTTTATAAATGTATTACATTGTACGAAAAAGAAATTGTGACTTTCAGCGCAATAGACATTTTTGAAAGACAGGTCACTACGATCAGAGTTGGCAGAGATATTAATCGATGATAAATATTAATAGACCTTCACAAGTTTAATGGCATTCTGGCGTATAACTGCCGGTATGCATTTTACCGTTTTCCAATTCCATTAATTACGAATCAATAGAGTTTACTGAATTCGAACACACTACGAACATTCATGCAGCTTGTGGGAAATTCAATCAGCTCGTGCGTAACTAACCGATCGATTATTTTAATTCTTGATTCTTTCTTTTTCATTTGTAATCTTCTTCTAGTTTTAAAATGTCGTTACGTATTCATTCATGTTTCTAGCTGTTAAAAATATACAATAGACACACATACACATGAAAAAGTGTACAAGATATCAAGCTTACAGTAATGAAAAACTTACTAGATGAAACACGTTTCCACAATCTTAGATTCCACTTTTTCTACGCGTAAACGTTAAAGAAACTCAAAGGAACGCAAGAACGCGCAGAATGCACATAACGCGCAGAAGTACCATAAATAGCTTGGTTTACCTATTTCCATGAAGTTACGAATTTGCATAAATATTTAAGTATCCCGACCGTAATACCTAACGGTGGAGTACGAGATTCCAAGGTTGAATCGGTGGATTTCAATGGAAACCGGTCACCCACGCTGTCTGGATGGCGGAAACCCGCTCTCCCCCCCGGACTCTGACGAATCGTTCGATTGGAATTCGACGTAACGGTCCGGAGACCGTACCAAAACACTTCTCGGGGACCGTGAGATCCAGCCGACGTCGAATAATCGGTTACCATATACGATACCACGGCGGCATACTTTCCGTTGTTTTTTCAACGTCGGTTGTTTCGCCGAGCCTTCGTTTGGTTTAGGCCAACCTCGCCATTTCCGAAGCCCGAGCGCCCGAGTTTCCCATTGAACCGAGCCAAAAACTTCTCGAAGACGGGATTCTACACGATGCAGAATCAAACTCGCGATGCGAATCGCAACGCGAACGAATACATCAGCGACTGGTTTTTAAAGAACCTTTCTTTCAGGCGTTCGTGGTTTAGTGGGAATGGAATTTAAATTCTGTCACCGGGATTTAGTTTCACTGTGTGATTCATTGAGAGGTTGACCGATTATCTCGGCGAATTTGAATATTTGAAAGTTCGGACGTTCGGCGATTTCAGGGTCAAAGGTTTGGATATTCACGGACTTTGGCAGTCGAGATTTTAATTATATCGACGTTGTAACGGTTGATAATGTGAGTATTTAGAAAACTGAATGTGTAATTTCTTCTCATTATTTTCTACCCCTTTATATTTATTTAAAATTGAAATTTAAATTAAAATTTTCATATTTTAAAGAGATATATTTTTTTAAAATGAAAGTGTTCCTATCAATACTTTATGTTAAACATATTTTCAAAACATTCTAAATCCTTTTTGTTCGTTAAACTGAATTGAAGTGTTTGAAAACTCTAGCAGGTATGCACCATTTTTTTATGTTAAACATTTTTTTGAAAATATCGTAGATGCTCTTCATTTGCTAAATCGAATGTGAGATTGAAATATGAAAATTTGAAGATACTAACGAGAGTTAACTAGTTGGAATTTTAAGTACTTGAACATCTCAAACGATTTACTGTTCGATAAAAATGATCGTAAACTCATGAAAGCTCTTGGTCGATCGGAAACGTCAAAAACGACCAAGTGTTCTCGTATAGAACCGTACTTCATTGGGGACGTACGCGCAGAAATTCTAGTTCCAACTTTCTAGCATAATTCTTTCAATGCGTTTGCTAAACGGAGGAAAATGCGGAGGAAATGCATGCAATAAATACATCCGATTTTTCCTATTTATCACCACGCAACTGGAAACAAGCCTAGTTGTCGAATATTTTGTTCGTTTATCCCTTTTATTATTTTTATTTTTATCCCTTGCGCGATCGCGATTTCAATAACACCCTCTGGTTGCAAATATCAGATGGTTGAATTTTCAACTCGCTAATTTCATTTTTACCGCGCGTAGAATTGAACTCCGAATTTTTTGACGATCTGAATTTCAAAAGGTACTTGTCCGTTTCTTCGGGTTAAATCAGGTGAACGGAGTCACCTGCACAAAGCTGCAGGGTCTCGCGAGCACACGAACTTGGCACACTTCGTCACACGCGTCTTCTTCCTGGAGTAATTATTTCATGTTACGGCACACGGTGCCGCGATATTTACTTTCCTTACGAGCGTAATATAATTCTGGCCCGTTGCTTTCTAGCCCGTTTTTCATCTGGATTCGGTGCACGTGTCGCATCGTTCTTTTGCTGTTCGTATTGCAGTTCAATCGACGTATTTTGACCGACTAGAAGCGAAAACTAATCAAGAAGAAAAGTCAGAAAAACGGACCAAGAGAAATAAAATGGTCGTGTCCGCGTATTGTGCGAGTAAAGAGTCCGTGAAATTACATTGATAAATCGTATTTTCCCGGCGAGTTCCGATTTCAACAATTGTTTACGCACGTCGAGCATACGTTCTACGCTCTCTACCCGAAAAATCAGTAGCTGAGAAGATAAGCGATAAGGATCTTGAATCACTTTATAAGTGCCATTTACATCCAGACAATGATAATGTTAATTCCGGCCTCTTTGAATGTGTAATTTCTGACTCATGAATATATGTATGTACGTTCACGCTCAAATTCAGCATACTCAAGTACCATGGAACAATTTTGAGCATTCAAGCAAGTTGATCTTGCACCTCGTCTCTTAAATTCTCTTCAATTCTTCAAATACACGTTTTATCGATGAATCATATTCATTTTTCTGAATTGGAGTATAACATACAATATTTAAATGCCATAGAATAACCTCAAGCTAGTATTCAAATTGATGAAATGTTTCAACACTTTAATTCATTTCAAATTTTGCAATTTTAGCAATTTTTCAATTTAAAAATTTAGTTACCAACAAATTGCTAAACATTTAATAATTTTCTTCGCGTGATGATATTTGCAGAAATTATGTCGTGGCATTTCTTCAGACTTGTTCGTTGATTTAGAGTAAAATCTTCGTCTAAAACCAAGCAACGATATGATCGTGTGCAACGAGAGCAAAATTCATATCGATCACAAATAACCAAATAATTAAATAAATCTATGGAAGTATTTCTTTCGGAAATGTTCCTTTTTAAAATATCAGGCGCGTTTATGCCGATACAACGAACAAGCACGTTTCTGTTTTTGCCAACCCGACATTTAAATATTACTCGTAGGAAATAGGAACGTGCAAAGAATTATCCTCTGAACTGTAATCATCGATTTATACTAAAGACACTATACAATTACAAAATTATACCGAATTAAAAGACTTCGTAATGCCAAGGACGTGTACGCGCGTATTATATGATACACGGTCCAAATCGCCACGCTCTATCATCAACTGAAATTCCGAACCTCGCCATCGGGTCTTGAGCATCGCTATCATCAACCACGAACAGAAGCACCGATGGTTACGGAGCGAAAGATTGCGATCGAGGCATTGTCGACAGGATCGTAGCGTAGCCACGGTCGCGGCAGTTGTCGCGTCCATGCAAGCGGCCACTCGTTCGGTCGCTGGCGTGCGTGCTCCACATCCGTGACACGGTTCTCGCGGTGGGTCGTGGCTGCGGTCCCCAGCGCGTCCCAGGAATCCGCGCGTTTGTGTACGTAAAACGGCAACAAACGGCCGGACGCCGGTCGATCTCCGTCGATCCGGTGTATCCGAAGATGTCCGACAAAGGGGGAACCAGTTTGCGGATAAGCAGAGTCTTCGCGCATTGGCATCTCCTCGGGTCGGTGCTCTTTTCAGCGAGATCGAGGAACGATCGAGAAGGAAGGAGAGGCAGCTCGCGTACGATGGATCCCACCACCGGCTAACCGGCCGACCAGTCAGCCAGCCAGCTTGTACATATCAAAGGCAAAAGTGGGCACCACCCGCCCCCGTGTGCGCGCTGCCGGTTCCCGCGCCTCCCGTAGGAGGGTGGTGCTTGTGATCGAGCACGTTTTCGCGTACGCAACCTCTTCGGCCTCTGGTCTACGTATATAAAGTGGCCGGGGCGAGACGACGGGTTCAGAATACCCGCTACGCTCGAACCACGCATCGGGTGGCACCACTACGCGCAATACGCGGCCAAGGGACGCCTTTGACCAGCGATAAGTCTCCGGCAGGGATCCAAGGGACAGGCAGGAGGCGCCGTCTCTCGGTAGCGTGCCCTCGACGTCCAGTTTCCGTTCTCCGGATTAATTAATTCGGGAATTTCGGTGGGTACCTTGGTGTCTCTTTTATCTTCTTTCTTCTCTTTCTCACTTCTCTTTCAACCGAGTTTCTTCTTTTTATTTCTATCGATAACCGTGTAGCTAGATTTAAATTTATTTATTTATTTGCGATCCTTATCGGGGTTCTGTAAGTTTTTTGGAATATTTTTGTCCAACACATTTTTTTGGAATTCTGTAAATTTTCTGTAAATTTTTTGGTTTTTTACAATTCTGTAAATTTTTCAAGCTCTCGCAGGTGTTCGATCGTTTCATTTTGATTCGACGAATGAAAAGGAGAAATAAGATCTACTAAACTCGAGTTTAGAGTAACTAAACTTCCATCTTTGCAGAAAAGACAAGATGAAGACTATTTTATTGTTTCTGTCGATCTCGTGGCTGGCCACGTGCCTGGCGACTCCGTTGGAGAAGCTCGACAAGATCAGCGTCCTCGAGCAGCAGTCTGTGACGCTAACGGATCGGGCCAAGTACGAGGAGGAGCTGCTTCGCAAGCTCAACTCCAAATGCTCGCAGAACGACATCAGTAGCTGCGTGATGCTGAAGTTGGTCACCTACATGAACAAGCTACTGAAGAAGGCGTCGATCGAGCTGACCGACGACATCGAGATCAGAAAAACCAGCCAAGCGTCCGAGGAGGTGATCACGTTCGAGGCTGGCAGAAGCAACGACGACGAGTCCGAGGTCCTCGACCTTGTCGCGAACAAGGTGTACGCGTTCATCAAGTCCAGAAGTATCAAATGGAGGATTCTGCCGGAGGATGACGTAGTTGTTTCTGCTTCGGAGGATGAGAACGGATCGTTGAATCTTGGCTTGTCTATCGAGAGGGCGGACAATGTTCCAGTTCAGGATGGTAAGACGTATTTTCGATGCTTGTAGACAACAGGTGCTCGAAATGTGAAACTCAAAGCGAAGGAATATTTTTTTCCAAAGCATTTGAAATGCGTATAATCACACTCGTTTGATATTTCTATCTCGATTATATCGAATCGTTTCGACGAATTGGATCAATGAATCCAAAAATTCCTTCACGGAAGCAATTCCTTTTCTCACTTTTCTTGTGCAGTTTCAAAGTGTTGTCAAAATTAACATACATACTTCTGCCTTCTGAAAGGAAACTCTCTTCTTTCTTTCAAGATTCCACGAACGAGATTCTCACTCTTGACACCTGTACCATCCGTCTTAACTTTTACTCTCCATTTTCCGACTACGTTCAAAACAGAGTCCAGAGTCAAACGACCCAGTCACGCCTCGTCAGACTTTACTGCCGCGAGAAAGTCCCAAACGTTTTACCTTCCCTCGACGAAAGCGAAACATCGCGGCGTCTGATTTTCAGGTCGTGGCAAGAAGAACAACAATATGGGCCCGTTGATCGCTGCGGCGGTGCTAAAGATCGGCCTGATCGGCGGTTTGGCGTTCAAGGCGCTCGCGTTGCTCGTCGGCAAGGCGTTGCTTCTCTCTAAGATCGCTCTCCTGCTAGCCGGTATCATCGGCCTGAAGAAGCTGTTCTCGCAACAGAAGCACGTGACGTACGAGGTGGTCGCCCATCCCCATCACAGTTCCAGCCACATTTCGGATCACGCGCACGCGGACAGCTATTCCAGCGGCTGGGCCAGAAGTTTCCACGGCCAAGGGCCGATCTCCGGGCAGGCAGACGCTCACGATCTGGCGTACTCGGCGCACGCGAAGTGAGTCGAGGTGCCGGACCCGTGGATTCGAATTCGTGGTACCTGACCATCTGTCTTCGCGTCTGTTACAACTCATCAGGTCCACCGATTCTTGCCAGCACCCTCTTGCCGTTTTAGATTTAACGTCCGATCCCTCTCTCTACCTGATCCCCTTCCTCCCATTCTATCTCTTCGTGTCTTCCTTTATTTCTACTCCTCGGTTTCTTCGACCTGCTCTTTCTTTCTTTCGCTCTTTCTTGCTTCACAGCGACGATCTTTGTTTCTCGACCGTAGACAGACGTAGATGGACGACGCGTGACAAATTGAATACCGACGCTTGACAAATTGAACTTCGAACGAAGAGCCCGACTATCGAACGGACTGCTCCGGATGATGACACGATGACACAGTTCGCGTGAGTTTGTCGTTTCATTCGACTCCGTGGCGACGAACTAGATGATGGTTCCGTTGGTGGTCGTGGAGTCGCATTCTCACGAGCTGTTACGCGAGTCGAATCACGATCGGAGATAACCGACGGACAAACGAGACGCTCCCATTGACACGGATAACTATCGACGTACGAAAATCGACTGCTGCATGTCTGTATATCTCTCTCTTTCTCTCTCTTTCTCTTTCTGGGACTGTACTCTATTTATCGAGACTAATTTATGATTAACTTATTCTCCTGTCCCACCGTCACGGTGCGCAGATTGTACAATAATGTTACTTTTATGTTGTTTTTTTACTTGTATAAATAAATATTTATTGTCTTTTTTTTTTATAAAACGTGTGTGTGTGTGTGTGTCCAATTAGTCCTGCATAAGAAGAACTAGTCTTGACTAGTTATGACAGATGAAATCTCAATCGTACTACCAACAGATTAGTATTATCGTACAATTGAAAAGATTTTTTTACCCGTTTTGATTTCCGGAACTGCGCTCACATTTCTTCTCCAACAAACATTTTGCATTGCACACAGTATTCAGAATTCAAAAAGTCATTGGAGCCTGTTTCTTTCTGCTTCATCAGTTCGTTGTAATTACAAACGAAACGCGCGAGTTTTCATTTTCTGAGGGACTTTACGTAATCTAAAAATGGTAACGCAATGGTTCAGTTATTTCATTTCCACGACCAGCGAAGAGAGGGTGGGTGTAAATGCGTTTTTAATACTATTACCTTGAATTACGGTGCCAGCGATAGAAATTACACGTTTTAGGTGCACGTGACATTTTCATCGACGTTTATTATAGCTGTTACGCACAGTAATCACGATTAGGTTCGAATAAGAATGTGGAAACGAAACTTTGCGAAACAGAATCGCCATTTTTCTAATGGCTCCAGCAACGAAAGAAAATACTCGATTGGATGCAAGCGTTTTATGCTCGTTTTATGCATTTCTCAGTGGATCTCGCACGACCGTGAAAAATTGGCGAGCTAAATAGTTTCGTTATCGTCCGGAAATCTGATTTCGACGAGAATCGTTCTTACAGCTTTGTTAATTGACAATTTGTCGATAGAGTATACTTAACAGCGTTGGAATTTCCGCTCAAGAGTTTTTAGGATGTAAAGAGAACAGAGTCGTTTAAAATTTTTATCTACGACAAAAACACGTTTGTTGGAAAGTTCGATGGAGTATTCGATGGAGTGGCCGTTCGATAGCAAAAAATATGCCAAATGTCTCGTGGTATTCGTCACGACGTGCTTCGCTTTGCGGAACTTAGCGGGACTTTAACGCCAAGTGTGACGATGATATCGAGTTTGATTCACTACGACGGTCGTTCGATTCGAAAGAATATCGAATTGAATTGTTGAAACCCTATTTCACGAACTGTTCGAACAATTGTTCAATCATTCGTTTCCTTGATTTCCAAAAAATAATATCAAAAATAAGAGTTTAATGAACAGAGTGGAAAATTGTTTCGCGTATAAAATTTCATAAAAATTACTCTTACATTGCACGATGTATATATTTTTTTATATTTTGTACATTCTATTGCATATAATTTCGCGCTTTAAAATTTCTTCAAGATTGCATAAAGATTCGCAATCTGCCAAAAGATATAAAAAAACACGATTTTCTCGCAGTACAAATCCATGACGTATTCTTAGTCCTCACAGAAATGACCAAAAACCGAAGAAGTGTCATGTTTGACAGAAATAGTAAAGTGATCAAAACGAACAACTTATTTTTAAACATTTAAATGATATTTCGCAAAAAGTAAATAACAGCTTGCGTACTCCATTGTGTTACATAGTTCCTGCAGGTTTTTCTTCAATGACATCGATGGAAATTTTATGCTTTAATCGCTCGGTAGTTTTGCCTTTGAAATATTCAGTCGATATGCGAGTATAAAATATAAAAATACAAATAGACTAGTTGTTTCAAATTTCTCTTCAGATTTGTTCCAACTCTTCGTTGACACGGTTTACGAAAATACGAACGTTCTCAGGCTCCCATATCCTAAATTCTCGATGCCTCGAGGTGTCGTTGGCCCGCCATGAAGGCTGGCAACTTTCGGAGGTGTCAAAGATGATCGGAACGAAGGGAAAACTACCGGTGGACCGCGATGCACGACGTGTATCTCTCATTCAAATGAGTCGTCCTCGTTTCGCGGTGGCCGCTTTCTCCACCTTGATTGGGAAGGATTGGAAAAGGAGATGAAGGCCCGATAAGGGACACCCGGGGAGAAAGAATCTCTCTGTCCCTTCCTCTCTCTGCCAGATCAACTTTCGGTTTCGGGTACTAGAGAAAGAGAGAGAAGTGGCCGTCATCGTTGACCCAGTTCCCGATACTCGTAAATCGACACGTGGGCCGATCGGATCGTTTGATCATTTGTAAAATTATGCATCGACTTTTTTAAATTGGCGATTTAAAGACTCTACCGGCCTTCTCTATAATTATCGTGTAATTAAAATGAGAAAAAAAAAAAAAAGAAAAATACATCTTCCGACAGTCTGTGAGACGCTCTTTGATTCTCTTTATGATTTATTAATTGTTTAACTTTAATTTTAAAGGTAATAATAAACTGTTGACTTAATTTCGATGCCCTTCGTATTGGAGTGAAATTTCACGAATATTCTCGGCAGTATGTAAAAATTTGGGAGTTTTTCTGGCGATCTCCGCCGTGTCTGTAATTAATACGACGCGTATTGCCCGATCGAAAATTCGTGGCCTGATTTCTTTTCGGAAGCGTGTTTTCGCCGGATTCGGTGAAATTCACCGCGAGAGGAGAAAGTATCCGGAGGTAAAGTATCGATCGGATCCTCTTATTATCGACGCAGAAGGATGTTGAACTTACGTTAATGGTGTCGACGAGTCTGTGAATGATCGACCGCTCGGCACCGACACACATTTCGGTCCTATCGAAAGGAGAAAACGTTCGCGCGATAGATTCTAACGCCCTCCCCTGCCAGCGCGATTGCGGAAGTTTCTCGAGAAACTTGAGATCGACCAAACGTTCTTGCCTCTTTTATTCTTGTCGAAGTATGTCTGAAATTTATCGAATAATTTTTAGAGAATACTAGATGTTTGCGATCCTGACGACTCCTGTCGTGTCCAGGTATAACGGGATAAATGTTTCTAATACTAGGTGTATACAAATTTCTGGAATTTTAAATATATAAGCTTCTAGGCACGTAAAATTACGTGAAATCTTAAATATAGAGAAAGGAGAGTTCTGACAAACATTTTGAAAGAAAATCTCGAACTGAGGAATCCTCAAAAAAAAAAAAAAAAAAAAAAAAAACACACAAAATTTCCAGAGTTTCATAAACCTTTCCATCGTAGGTTTAAGCCTCCAAACCTTTTAAGAACGTGTTCCTCCCGAAATTTACCCAGTTCCGAGCAACGAAGCTTTGCCTCAGCCCTCGAGGGAACCGTGGTTTCGCGAGATCCAAACGGCAAAACGTCCCCAATCCCGCCCCCACCCGCCGCGTAGGCCCGACGTGAAAGGAAGAGAAAGAACGAGGAAGGAGATCCGAACGCGATCGCGATCGCGGATGATCGCACGCGATCGTCGATCGGGTTTCAAGGATACACGATCGTCCGTGTGGCGTGGCGTCGTGGCGAGGAACGAGCGAACGGTTTCGAACCGGGCCTAGTTATACCTACCAGCCCGGCGTTACGTATATGTATATACGGTGTGTATCGTTCGAACAGCACGCGAAGGGAAGTGGAACAGAAGAGAAAGGTATGCTGAGAGATGAACTAGTTTCGTCTGGCGACGATTTGGTCTGGTGTCGATCGAGCCTCAGACCGATCGTTCCTCCCAGCTGGTTCCGTCCATCCGGCACTAGGAATCACCTCGAATCACGCTACGAACACTCGTAGGGTTTTCTCTCGCGCTATTATTCCGTTCGATTCACGGTTCGCTGTGAATTTTCCCCAGCGGATGGGAAAACAGACTTCATGGTGGCTAATATCTGGCGCGGACGCGAGAGATACTCGCCCGTGCTTTTCCGCCCGTTAATTGCGCATCGGAGGATGAGCGGCGAGCAGGCAGGCGCGCGCGAAATCGGTTCTACGTTCTCTTCTGCTCCACTAAGAGGCAAGGAAAGAGGGAAAGGAAGTCCGGAGTATCCGGAGTCGGAGTGGAGAGACGAGCGGGGCGCTGTATCAACGCTGATATCCACTGATCTAGAATAAAAGTGACGCAAAGATGAGAGGCATGGGATCCGGCAACGGAGGGAAATCGGAGTGGCCACCGAACGGCAAGATGAACAGAGACGGTAGGCGAAGGCGTAAACTTGCATCGCGCGGTTTAGCCGCGTCAGCTCGCTCGCTTGCTCGCTCGCTCGCTCGCTCGCCGGCGCGGCCTCGCAGCCAACCGCGGCGTAACGCTCTGAAACGCTTCGAAAATAAGAATTAAAAAAAAACTGCAGCTACGGGTGGATCGGCCGAGCGAACGAAAAATTGCAGGCTAATGCACACGACCATCAACGCGAATAAGAGAATGGTCTCTCCTCTGGTCGTTCTCAGTCGGCGATGCTCTCGTTGCTTTTTTTCATAATACAATCACCGACCGGCACGTACAACTATATAAATGAGATTCGAAGACCGGCGGGATGCACCACTCGGACCTCCGCCGTAGGTTCCGCAGGATCTCTAATCTCTAAGCGCGTGTTTGCTCGCGTGAAATCGCGAAATCGCCACTCGAATCGATATCGGACCGTTGACGGCAGCTTCGAACAGCTAGGATCGAGGTGGTACAGTCGATATCATGGACTGGCTCGGGAACGCGTCTATACGCGGAGGGCAACGTCGTTGCTTCGCCCTCTGTTTGCTGACCGTCGTTTGTATATTGTCTGCCGCGAAACAGGCTTACTCCGCCGACGCCAACGACACGAAGGACCCTTTCGTCGCATTTTCCACCGATTGCTCGAACTCGGACTCCAAAAATGTATCTGTATCTTGTTACGGAGTCAGAATCGTTAGGAAGATCGTTCAACAGCTGCTGGAGAAGACTAGCAACGAACCCAACATCGAGATCTTCGACGGGGTCAGTTTGGTCGAGGTACCAGAGGCTGGATCGATGAGAAAGGGAAGGCTGATGAAGGGATTCGGTAGCATGGGGAGTTTGATACAGTTTTTGGAGGGAAGAGAGCTCAGAATCAAGCTGCCGAGTTTCTTGCCGCAGAACATCGAGAGTGCTCTTCGCGAGAGTCTTCCGGTGGATCAAGGTCGATTATTGGGAGGATAATTCTGATAATCAACGAGTTTGGCTAAATTAATTAGATTTTGTTTCGATTGCAGCCAGAGGAGGTGGTGGCGGTGGATTCGGTGGTGGCGGCGGCGGCGGTGGCGGCGGAGGAAAAAAGGGCGGCGGTAACGGAATGCTCCTAATGGCGCTCATGATGGGTAAGTCAATTCGTTTTTGAACTTCGTGCTTTTTCTTTCTACGATCTCAAACGAATCTTCAAATAAAGCAAGACAGAAGAATTTATCTCAAATATAGCAAGACAGAAGAGTTTATTTACAAAATTTATATACTTTAGAAGAAATATAAAATAATACTCATCTCAACGAAAAGTTTAAGCCAAGGGCGCCTTCTTTTATTTAGAAACAAAATTCTCGAAACTAATGATTTCTTCAGTCTCGTAATTTGTATAATTCACATATTTTGGAGGAAATTTAAAACAATATCTTATCTCAATTAGAAGTTTCTTGTTTCAAAAGCTTCAAGTCTAAGACAGCTAAGAGTACTTTATTCTAATGAGAACAAAATTCTCGTAATTAACGATCACATCAAATTTCTTCAATCGTATTTTTTGATACGATTTTCTTAATGACGAAAGATAAATTTCATTCGATCAAATTAAAATCTTGTTTCACAGAGATATTCATCTAGATTTAAACCTCGAAGTCCAAACACCAACATTCATTGAGATTTAAATCTTTGGAATCCAAGCAAAAATCTACACAAACATCCAGATTAAGATTTACGTCTCATGATTTCAATTCTGACATCTATGCATTTGTACTGACACCTGTGCAAGTTATTTCAACAGTGCTAAATTTCAATAAACACGTGACCATTTACTGTCAACTTTAATTAAATCTATCCAATCATTATCATCAATGTTTAAATCTATAAAATCTATAAAATTCATCAGACGTCGTCCTCGAAGGGGCGATAAACCATTATTATCTTATTTACTTTCTATTTTATCGGATTTCTACTAACTGACTAGCACCGATTGCGATTATGTGACTTCCAGGCAAGATGATGGCGGCGCTAGGATTCGGTGCCCTGGGTATGCTAGCCATGAAGGCGTTGATGGTGTCCGCGTTGGCGTTGATGCTCTCGTTGATCGTGGCCGTGAAAAAGTTGGCGAGCAGCCACGACAGCGGCGGTGGTCACCACGTAGTTTATGCGCAAGACGTCGGTCATCATCATTACCGGAAGAAGCGATCCATCGGCGACGAAGACCACGACCTTCCGTACAGAGGATACGCGCACCTGTTTGGTGATTCGCGGGTGTCCTGATCCGATCGATCGTCCACCCACACGCACGCAGGGCCGTTCGTCGTAGATCCTCTTCGAGAGCCAAGCCGATACGGCGTGTCAACTGACACGCCAAGTTCGAAGAGACTTTATGAACGAGCCACCAGACAAAACACGAGACGAGGACAGCGACGATTCTGGACAATGACAATGACAACGATTACGACGACGATGACATTGACACGGTAGCAGTGACAGACGTGACGTACAGACCATGTTAGAAAGTGACATTTTCGAGATTAGAGATTCGTTTCGCACGTGAGACACAGTGATGAAAATGATCGGTTGTGGTCCACGGGTGATCGTGGCAATGGGGAATCGACGACACGGATGCTGGAGAAACCAAAGTACACTCTGTCGAGGCATGTTTATTTATTACCCTTCATTCTCTCTAGATGTTCATTCATTCAGCATCTTTTGTACTATTTATTTATTGCGCAATCGAATAAAAAATATCCAACTAATTATCTGAATTATACTAGAAAGCTCGGATGTGTGTGTGTGTATGTGTGTGTGTTCCATTCTACCAACCTAATCAAGATTGAAAAACAAAAAGAAAAATATGAAAGATTGAGAAAGAGTGTTCGTGGATCGCAGCTGTTGGAACAGAACTCGTAAATTCGATGGACCAGGTGTTTCGAGCGGAGGATCTCTCAAATAGGATCCGATCGAGCGTAGAAAAATCGGGCGATGGAAACGAAGCCGATCGAGGAAAGTGTGCCAACGAGTCGCCATGCCGTGCGTTGCATATTTCCTTCTGCATATTTCTGCGTGGCGTGCTTACGATGCTCGAATGCTCGCGATTACACTCTCTCGTCTATCCTATTCCTAATCGAACGAATTAACGAGGATAAAACGGCGAATAAACCTCGTGCTCAGGATTATCCCCGCCGCCTCGCAATCCGGATGCCCGAGTCGGTGGGACGGTTGTGGGTAAGCGTGTCTCGCAAGTAGCACGACGCGGTTGTGTAAGAAATCGTGCAAAGTGAAACGTTCCACGAGGAAACGAACGTCTTCGAGAGCAGTGTATTTTCGTTTGTGTGATCGCAGTTACCATCTTAACTTCATTCGCGTTAAATCAGCCAGATGTTCGAGTCGATTAACGAGTCTTCACTTTGAGTCGATTTAATCGTTCGCACCTGCATAACGATACAACTATAAATAAATATAATTGCTGCTGCTGCGGAAAAGAAATTTGTCGACGATTAAATCTGACGACTGATTCGTAAAAACCGCGTTTGTTTCGCCGCGAGTTTCCCACGACGATCGGCCACGATCGTTGAGTTGAGTCGATCGAGAGAATCGGTGCAATTTTACAGGGCTTCCTCCTCTTTCTATGTACCTTCTCCTCCCCAGCCGAGGTAATCTCACGTTCCCCTACTCGACGCGATTGTCTTCGAGCCAGAACCAAGCTCCTCTCTTCGACTCGATGGTCTGGCGGGAGGAAAAGCGCGGTCGGGGGCCGAGACCCACTGGCACACATTCCGGACGCTTCCTTTTTTACGTTCGAGAATATCATAAAATGGGGGAAACGCGCTGGCAATCGGCTCAGATCGCACGCAGCGATCGGCAAGCGCGAGCAACGCGCGGACGATGGACCGATAACTCGAAATGCAATTACTCTTCTTTCACAGTTGCCGATGCACTCTTCTGCTATTAACATCGAAACACGTTGCAAATCTCTCCGAGATTTTCTTCGTCCAATTAAACACGCATTAGAATTTGTAATTTCACTTTTTCACCTCGTTCTCCTCTCGCGAACATCCGTGAATATCCTCGGTAATTCACTAGTGGGTTAAGCGGTTGTTCATTAATAAATAAGTTACTTCATCTCCTTGACTTCTTTATATTTTTCATTCATTTTATCGGAGTAGGTTTCTTTTCCTCTCATTTACAACTCGCTCTGCTTTCATTTTCTTCCCTTTCTTACAATCTGGCAACCCTCTCTCGAGCAGCTGGCTCTATCAAAATCGGCGCGTAATTCTCGCTCTGCTTTCGTTTTTCTTCCACCGACCGATGGACGACAGGTGGCGACATGGCGATTAAAGTTTTATAGCGCCGTAAAACTCGAGCGCGGACTGCTCCACTGACGTCAGCTGCATCGCCAAGGGAAAACGAAAGTTAGAACGTTTTTGTGAAAGGACCGTTTCCGGGTACGAGGGAATCGAATCAGGTCAACGGATTCACGAAGTTCACTCTTCTCAAAGTTCTGTGACATTCTTGTTGATATCACCGAGGAACAGCCAATCTATTGCCAAAGATTCATCAGTCGATTTTGAATAATTTAGGGGCTTCTGGTTACGAATCTGCTGTTAATTCTTTTAGATTGACTCTAGTTTTCGAGCAACGCACGTTTTACAGATTTTGATACCCATTGTTTGTCCCGTTGTCTAATTTCAGCTACAAAATATGCCTGACACGCCTATTGTTTTCTTTCTTTCACACCGGCGTATTTGCTACAAATAGTAGCAGAAAACGTCATACTCATTTTCGCGGAGAAACTTAGTTAAACTAACAAGTTCTGTAAAACAAGTTCTTGTTACTTTTTTTTAAAAGAGAGTAGTTGATAAGCGAATTGAACGTACGTCTCTTGTCGAGTAAATCAGGTTTGAATCATTCGGTAGATAATTACAATTTAAAAATAGATCAAATTTCTATTGTTTTAAAAATCAGAGTCAACTGAAGCCAAAGTGAATATATAATACGAATTATATAAACCGGTCTTAAATCATTGGCAACACGAGAAAATTTTCCTCTTGTTCCCGATGTCATTGCAGCTCATCGAATCGCTATCGAAGACAAATTCTCCTTACGTTCAATTAATTTATCATTCCATCGTTGCCGAAAGTAGTTTTTAACATGAACGAGGAATCCGTTATTCGTTTCACGCTCATTAACGATCGGAAGGAAATTTAAAATTTAAATGTGGCCAGGTCGACCGATTTTACGAATCGATCGCGCGTGTGTCAACGACGATCCTATCGTTGTGCTGAATAATCTGACGTACATGAGTGTTGGAGCTACAGGTATTGGAAAATGCAAGCTGTTCAGTTTGGAACTAGAAATGTCGCTACAAGTGGCACGGTTGTGTGAATTACGCTAGTAGCTGATAGAGAATCAACGATTTCGATGTAAATGAGTTACAAATAGAAGTGTTGAATTTTTTCAATTTCTCTGTCTGAATGAGGAAATTAGAATTTTTGATCAAGAAAATTATAAGGTTGCCTAAAGATGGTAATAAAAAAAAAAAAAAAAAAAATCTAAATTCACAACGATGCGTTCGAAAGTTGATTTACGAATTGAAAGTGTTTTCTGTTCGAACAACTTAATTCTTATGAAATGTTTACATATTCTGTAAATGTAACAAGTTTTTTTTATTAATATTAACAATTGAAGCACTTAATCTACAAAATTGATTTGAAATTGATTTGAAAACGTGTTTGAAAATAGATTTATAAATTGAGTTTCCTTTCCATTCAAACAATTAATTATTTCGAAATTTTACTTTTGTATGTTTTGTAAATTATTTATCATTTACTTTTGTGAATGTAAAAATTCATCTTACGAGTTCTTGAACGTTTTTCATAAAATATTACAGAACACAGAGAGTCGTTGAAAAGAATACAAGCGACGCACGTTTACTCGAATAATTTAAAATAGCTTGTCGCTACAACCTTACGCTGATTCACGCAACTGTGAAACAAGGATTTAACGAGTCGACGATCGTGCCTTCGCGAATAAAAATGCGTGACGTACAGAATTGGTAAGTAACAAGTTTCCAAAAGTTTTCGGCCAGTCATTTGAAAAAGTAGACTAGGCGAAATTCCTCGATTCTTCCGCTTGATCGGTCTTGGCCTCATTCTTATCTAATATTTTCTATCTCGCTCGGTCGCGTGACAGAAATTCCATTTCCTCTGAATTTCGATGCCTGTGGAAAACACATCGACCGGTACAATTTTCCTGTTTCTCGTTGACCGACTTCGCTCTCGCGCGTCGTTTTCACGAGAAGTTTGCAATTTAGAAGTTGGCCGAAGTGCAAGGTAAATCACAGGGAATTTGTAAGAAATCTTGCGTGCACGACGCGGGCGCTGTTCTGGGTTAATACGAAGTCCGGTATTAGCAGACCAGTGTCATCGAACATTTCTCTAGTTCGAGTGAAACCTGGAGCGAGCGTACGCCGAGCGAGTCGGGTTAGAGAGAAACGTTGACACACGTGCCCCGTGACACCTATTTCGAGTTCTCATTTTTCTGTCCTTTTTTTTTTTAGAATCTCGTTTACGCGAAAGGAATCCGTTGAAAGGAATGTGACTCGATGTAAATGACAAAACTTTGCCTCTGATGTATGTATAATTGCCTCGAATCTTGACGTCTAAATTGGAAATAAAAATTTGTGGCATCGGAATGGCAATAAGTCAAAGTGGAATGCTGGAGAAATTGCGAATGAAGAAAGCAATTTTCCTCTAACCTGCTCCCTGTGATTAAACAGGGCGGTTTTGTGGGTCGTATTGGCCATTCGCGAAACGTACCATTACAATGTGACACATAAAATGACGATACAGCTCGTCTACAGTGCCAGAATTATTTCTATGATTATCGCACCTGGCAAACTATCGCGTGTAACGTTCGAAACTGTCGTTTGAATTACCACTAAAACTGAAAGTGGCTGCACCTCGATGCCAACGACAACCTCGCTTGCCCCACTGACACCCTTTCCTGCAATCTCAAGCCTTCAAAAACTCGTCCCTAAACATTCCGAGTCACATCAGAAAAACAATTTTCTGAAGCAAATTTCGTTGATTGAATCGTCCAATGGTATCAAGGACAGTTAGCATCCCCTCCAACGAGCAGAGTCAAGATAAAAATCACAAACAAGAAGGCAAGAAGTCACGGTGGATCGGTGAAAGTTTGCATAATCCGTTGAACGAGCGATATTAGGCTAATTTCGCTCAGGTCGTGCAAACGCTCTTACAGTCGCGATATTTTACCCGAGAGGCTGGGCGTGTCTGTTCCTTTCTGCTGCTGTGCCACGAAGGAGAAATCTTCATTTTACTTTTGAACGGCTCTCCTTCCCCGCGGGAACGAAGGATCGACGAAAGGATGAATGAACACTGACGTAAGAGGCCAGCCGGATTTCTTTTTCGATCCGATCCCTTCGCTGCCATTGCGAACGCGAAAAAAAGGAGCCTCGTTTTATCAGAACGATTGTCGCGCGACGAGTTTATCTCAACTCGACACTTTGCTTTTTTTTTCTTTTTTACTGATGATACGTTTCGTTTCATTGATTGAAATTTAAAGGCTTTAGTGTTTTAGAATTAAATTTAGAATTTAAACAGTGTATGACTGAGCTAGGAGGTATATAGAGTTCGAAAAGTTAGGACCGGAGATCTCCGTTTCACCGATTCAAATTTGACGCTCTTAATGGGGAGATTAGTACACCTGACCTACGA